TCTTCGTGCGTCCGACGTTTTCGGGAGGCAGAAGAACATTGTTGCCAAGGCTGCAACTGCGAATAAGACTGCCAAGTTTGGAGATTTGTTGACTTGTCTTCTGAGTGCAGTAGGACCGGACAATCGTCGCATGTGTTCCGCTTCCTTCAGATGCTCTCCTTGCCCCGGGCGCACAGAGCAGACACACGATTGCAAGGCATGCACGCCGCAGGCCTGCACATCTCACTTGAAAAATGTCTGGAAAATCTGCTCAATAAAGATAAACACCAGGTGAACCCAAGGGATCTTCTTGCCCTTCATCTCTTGTCGGCATCCCGCAAATCCCGTCAGATACATGCCGGGATAAACACTGAATCATGGTGGCCTGCAACTGTTGGAGCACCTGTACAGTGAGACGTCTTCTATCTAGAGTCTAGAGTCTAGAGACTCTGAGCAAGATGAACAAGCGACGAGTTTTGGCCCCAGCAGCGCAAACAGCTGGCAGAATATTTGTTAGGGCAGTCGGCAGGTGCAAGGGCAACAGAAATCTGCTGCAGACTCGGCTAGGCCAACCAGTGGACAGCAGTCTAGAAGAGAATGCTTGCTGCGAGCTCTTCAAAAGCCGACCCTGCTGCTTTCAAAAATGAGGGTGGTAAAAACCTCGGGAGGCAGCTCAAATTCGGATGGGATTGAGATGAGGCTCCCAACCGCAAAAGAGTGTTTCATACATGCACCTCTTGCGAGGAGTTTGAGAGCAAGCTGGCTCTGCTTTTCTGATCCTTTAGGAACAAGCCCATTGATGACATTCGCATCTTCCTTCAGGCGTAGGAGCTGCCGCCCAAACGTAGCAAAACAAGAACCGCGCAACCCATCAGACTGGAGCTGAGAGGGTACAGTACGGCTACAGCCTGGATCGTAGCGATGGTTGCGATGGTAAGACCCGAGTGTTTGCGCAGCAGGTGTTGACATTTCATGTGAGCATCGTTGTTACAGATTCAAAGTTCAATCAATGTGTTGAGCCTTGCATGGATTTAGCGAACTGCAATCCCGATCCGTAAAACCTTGCCTCACCTGCACTTAGAGCAGACCTAGCTGAATGTAGCTCCAGTAGCCAGGGCACGTGGTTAAAGTCGAATCAACGCGGCTTTGACATGGAAGGAGTGAAAAACAGATTGACGGAGATGGCCGCATAAAGCTCGATGCTCGTGTCGGTGGGTGCCAAGGCTCCGTCCTGGTCACAAGCTTTCTGATTCATCTCCCGTTCTTCCTTCACCTTTCGCAAGCTTAGTCCCGTGCCGACGTGTGACCTCACAGCACGGGTCCAATCGCACACGCCGGCCATGGCAAATGAAGAGGCTCCGTGGTGCCGAGCTCGGCACCGGCGCTATGCCTTCAAAACCATCTCTGACAGGTCAAAGCGCTTCGCCTGGACTCAACTAACGATCCCGCCTGAGATAATATGTGCCTGTCACACGACTGTCGGACACCCCAAAGTATCCCAAGTCAAGCCCGGGCAAGTCAATTGTGGTCCTGCTTGCGTCTGAGAAGTGTAACAAGCGAGTTCTGTTTAGTCCCTCTCCAGGGCCGCTCCGGTGGATCTTCCCGAGACCCAACGACCCCCCACGTCGAAACCGAGCACCTGTTGGTATCGTCACAAAAGCGAGCTTTCGGCTCTTGTGGCATCTCTGGATGCTACATCGGGCTCTTGCCCAAGCGAAGCTGCGACCCTCATCTTAAGATTCAATGGTCATGCGGCACGCTTCAGACGACTTGCGGAAAGCTGAGATTCTGACCGGATCAAGTTCCAAAAGTGCCTTTGCACAGTCCGTCTAAGTCGGGAACGGCTGGCAACAGGTGCAGTAAGGCTGCCACGGCTAAAACTGCCTGAAAGCCTGGAGAGAGGATCTGCGAGACCGGGACCTGATGCCACAGAAGCTCACAGTCATCCTCGGGCTGCTTCAAGAGCTCGGGGTACTGGCCTTCGAGGAGCCCACAGCGATCGAGCGCCTTGTTTTTGGGGCGTCTCTGCGCAGGTAGGATTGCAACTTCACTCCCTCCTCTTCTCGGTACTCCCATGGTGCGTCTCTGTGCATCGGGTCAGACGCGTCGGGTCCAGGTGGGCAGGTCTCACCACTGCTGGTCTTGTAACAACTCGCGACAAACCCTCCGGGTTGGCGCCGCAATCGTGGACTTGTGGATCGCAAGACATCGCAACAAATGGTTAATATAAGCATTGCGAAGTTCGCGTGATTTGGTGGCAGACTAACCTGATGTTTCAATCGTTTCTGAAGCTGATGACGCAGAAATTGGCAAGCGGCAACCTTCCAACCATTTAGTAGGAAGTACACATCTCCTCAAAGCTGCTCATGACAAGGTGCTTCTCGAAAAACCTCGGAAGACCGTTCTTCTGGACGTAGGAGAAGGCCTTGCAACCTGTGAAACGTCCAGTCAGTCATGCCGAGTCAAATCTTTTTGCTGCACGCAAACCAGAGGATCAACTGATCCAAGCAAGTCGCAAGCATGCTTCCTCCGAAGAACATGGCCATGGCTGTTTTGGGTGAATGCGGTGAGGTGCATTGTCTGAGCTCCCGCCTCCAGCGGTGCTCTGCCAAGGGTAATTACCGATTGCCAGAGCATACCCAACCACCTCGATCATGCGAGGAAGGCACAGCATTCGCAACAGCACCGAGGAGTGGTGCTACTGTTACAGCAACCAAATGAAGCTCCAGGGTCTAGAGGTCAGAACTTCGTGGGAGGGTCTCTGAGTCTCTGCACTCCGCAGGCGAAGAGGTCTGCTGCTCGAGCATCGTAGGGCACGTCTTCTTGCAGCGTCTCCTGCAAAAGAAAGGCTCATTCATGGCTCGGCCAAACAAGCTGGTGAATCCGGGTCATCATGTCCATCAGTTCAACCTCTCTGCCTCTCACTGGCATACTTTGGGCTGCGTCGACATGCCTTCCTTCACGGGACACCTGCACACGCTACCTCCGAAAATATCCAAATCCAACGGACGGATGACCGACGCAGCAGAAGTGCTTCCGAGATGTCTGGGCTGGGGAGAGTCGGTCAAAAAACGTCACACGCCAGCTTCATGGGACCATATTCGAATACGGCCACCAGTACATGCAGCGCCTCAAATCAAACGCATCTGTCACGGCTTTAAAATCCGTGTCGACAACTTTGTTTTTTGCTTTCGCTGTCTGGACGTGTCGAGTGTCGGACCGTGAGGGCCCATCTCCATAGCACTACGAGACTAGACTGACGCCCTACGTGAGAAAACAAAAAGCTGGAGCATGCCAGACTGTTCTTTATCAAACGTCTCCACACTGCAACCCATGGTCTCCGGAGCTCGGTACATCGGCTTCCCTCGTGCACCAGTCCTTATCTGGCGTGGGCAAATGCAACCATGGTTGTCAAGCTCGATGCACAAACATCATGAACAAAATCCGAACGGGCCTGCGGAAAAGCACGCTGCTGACCAGTCAACAGTGAGCCGGGCAACAAGCCATGCAAATGCTTGTTCTTTAAGTCTTCAAAGTCTGTGCTCCGGACACCGAAGACAGATCTGTGTCGTGAATTGCCATGGCGAAATCGAGAAGCGCAACCTGCGAAAAACAGGTCAGTGATGAGCATGTGCATCCTGAGCGACTCTGCCGTGTGAGCCGTTGCCTCCACCTCCCCGTTCTCGACCCGCAATATCCTCATGGACTACACGATCAAGCCTGTGAGTCCTAAACTCACGGAGTACCACAGTGCCTGTGCATTTAAACTTGGTCTCGCAGCTTCTAGCACTGTCAACCCCTTCATGTTGACGTTTGCACCGGTTGCAAGTAGGACAGTGCAGGTTAGTCAAGCACAGATCCGGTCGACCACTCCGACTGCGAAGGCACAGCCGGTCGCATTTGCCAATGTGGCCACAAGTCTTGTCATGCCTTGTCACTTGTCTACTCTACGACATGGAGCCACTAACCCAAAAGGTAAATCCAGTTGGGTGATCGACTCCTTCCTCCTTGGTGTAAAGCGGACCGACAACTTCGACTGCTGTGGCCGGCCCTTTCGAGGCGGTGCAAAGTGGCCACGTTCGAAGGATCAAGAGCATGCCCATTTATCCCATCCGGTGCAAACCGCTAGCAACGGAGCGTAGTTCTCAGGGCCGGGCGCATTCTCGGCACTCACATCACCATGCGCAATGCCCAGACCTGGTCACAGTTTCGTGGTGAAGGCCCTCAGCGTCCCCAGATGCTGTGTGAAACAGTCAGTTAGCCGGTGGGACATTGACACATCTCAGGCTTCGGCTATGAAGCCGCGATACTGTTTGAAGGAGGGCACAAAGCACTTGGGCGGCCTGCCAAGGAAGTGCAAGTGCAGGGGACGTGGCTAGAGGTTGCTAGTGCTGCAAGCTTCGGACAGTCGGAGGAAGATACGCATCCGCCAGATACCCTCCACCTAGCCCTCCTCCCTACAGCCCGCAAGTTTCGACCAACCCGCTTTTTGCGCCCCGTTCATTTTGCTTGCTTTTTCCCGCCTTCCCCCACCCCCTTTTCGTTGTGTTTGTAGGCCTCCACCCACACTCCCCACGCCCACCCCAACCCTCCCTCCCTGCCCCGATCCACTCTTTCCATTCCCCGCCCCCACCCATCCTGCCCCCTGCGTCCCTTACCCCTACGAGCCGAGGCGGGCGGCGTAGCGGCGTAGCGTTAAATTATTGCAGTTCACCTTTCAAGCAGCATCCACAGGAGGGACATGCCTTCTGAGGCTACACTGCGACTTTAAACATCTTTAAACAAGTGGCCAAGCACCAATTGGGGTGGTATGGCTTGTGGAACAGGTGAAAAAGGAAGAGCATCACGAGGAGGAAATGGGCTTTAGGAAGGTTCGCTCCAGGAGGAGCGTCTCTCCGCGTTTCTCAGCGGGCGGAGCACCTGTCTCGCACGCCCCTGTGATGTTGTGAAGGACTTCGGAAGCCAGAGCCACGTAGGCCAAGGAAGCTTGCAGAATCTACCGTCCCAGTATGTCCCAGTGCCTGTGCTTCCCTGGCCGGCCCCGGCTCACCGAGGCTGCTCGCCTAAAGTGCGAACAGCGAGGCTCTGCAGAACGCGGCAGACCAGACCCCAAATCAGACCCCAAATCCTCACATGTCTTGTTTAAATTTCGTCAATAACTCGTGAATGCAGGCAACCGCTGTGGTCTTGGCGCCACACGTACTCGAAAACATCGCCACCAGAGGCCCACTCCATGATCAGGAGCGCAGAGTCACCTGATAGAAAACGAAGACCATCATTCAGGAGTGCGGGAAGCGTGTTCTGCGACTGCCTACAGGATGGATAGCCACATGCCTCCTATGTACTATGGTCGGGTTCGGAGCCTTGCAATTCGGTTTCTGATTTGCTAGATGCACTTGCACCGGATGACTCTCACGCTCCGTCGGCTGACAGAAGACGACTGCGAACAGACTGCCAGCTTGACCTCAGGTTCTGAAATGAAGGCCCCAGTGTAGCTCGATCAACAGATATATGGGCCACAGAGATGTTCCGAAGACTTGAAAACATGCTGCTGGGGTCGTCCACAGCAAATCTCGCTAGAAATGGCAATCGTGAATTGCATGGAGCCCACAAAGCAGAGGCCATGGCTGGCATCACGATAAACGCCGTAACATGGCAGCACCTGGGCAGCTCTTTGACGAAGGCTCTAGATGAATCCTAGACCTGCTCGTCAACTCCAGCTCTCACCAGGGCATTGGCTCCTTTGATGCGGTCTGGACCGTCCTCACTTCCGCTCAGTGCGTCGTGAACGCTTCCCAACCAGTCGATTCGATGCCTGTCCCAGCTTCATGGCCAGAAACATCTCGGTCCAAGGATCCTGCCCACAATTCGTTCAGCCGATGTTCACGCTGCTGCAAGCTTACACAAAAACCATCTGCTCCATCGCGAACGAAAGGATGAACCTGACAGTGCACACATCTACCTCCTTCCTGTCCTCTCCGCAGAATGCGTCGGACTCTCGGAAAGCACGAGGGCTGTCGTGAAGATATGCCCTGGCGGAGCGTTTACCTTCACGTTGACTTTTGCCCTTCAGGAGTCCAGGCCAGGCCTGGTGAAGCGCTTTGCGACGACCTTCTGCCCTGATGCATGATCTACGTGAACTTCGATCTGGGCGTGCAGACCTGGCTGTCAGAGAAAGGCCAGCATGCATTCTCTGAGCTCTGAGCGGCTCGGCTTCCCTAATGCTCCGACCGATCGTTCAACGCCCGCCTTCGCACGACGGTCGAATCAAATGGTCCAACCTGGCATCTCACAGCTGCGAGCCTCTGCCTTTTTGGGACTCACTTTCATTTTCGGCTTTCAGGAGTGTATCAGCTTTCAAAAGGAAAATGCCTCATCCTAAAGCGCTTCTACTTACGAATCTCCCTGTGCCATTGAACTCTTCCGCTTACAACACCATCGCGCCCGGCTGTCCCTTGCGACTTCCCGAACCTCCAGGCGAAAGCCACAGCAGACTTGACAGCTGGATACAGCTATGTATGTAGGTAGTGTACCTCGTGCAGCAATCTCGTCTGAGACATGACATGCTTTTCGGATCCCATGTGCTTGCTTGCTGTCAGCCCCTCGCTCGTTCTGAAGGGTAAACATGCCGGTGCAGCGAAAAACGCGCCGGATCGATCAGTGGGATGCTTTGCCAGCAAAAGCTCTCGAAGTCTGGCCAGGCTCGAATCGAATCTCGCTGTTCAAAAGCAAACCACTAGCCCAAAAATGAGAGCAAAGCGAATCAACCTAAACAGCCTTCGACACCGGTGAAAAAAAAGCAAACGACGCTTCGTCAAGTTCGTCTGCTCTTAGGTTTGTCGAATACAAAATGACACGAACCGACTTTCACTAAAGTCTTGACAGAGGGATCTTTGTTTCTTCCTCCTTTTGTAGAGACACCCGGACGGGTGCCTGCGCTCCAGTGAGGTTCCAGCACACTGCGCGGCAACGCCTTGTTTCTGCTGCATTCGGCCAGCTTCGCAAGAGACATAAGGTCAAGTGTGGACATTGCAGCCCGTCTGAGGCTTCAGCAGAGGTCGCTTCGAAATCTGTCGCGCAGGTGCTAGCTACCTCAATGGCGCAGGCACCACATGGTACCACAACCATGTCGGGTCCTCAAAATTCGTGAAGCACGTTTGTACGTGGATTCACTGGGTGAAAGGAACTCTTAGGACCGCAAGGCAGCTCTGCCTGAGAGGCTTTTGGAACCCGGCAACAAAGTTTCCCATTCTCAAGGCCACGGGACATGAACCGCCTTGAAGCCTGCGACGCCTAAACCGGAGTCGTCAATTGAGCACACGTCTCTACTTGCGTGCTTGCTTCAGCCAAGCAACTTCCAAAGCTCTCTCTCTAAAATCGCCTCGGATGGCCGGGAACAACCATGGCATCTTTGACGCTCATTGTGACGAGGCAGAGCTCGGAGAGTTGGAAGCGCATCCCTCGGCTCGGGTCGTGAGCAAAGTCGGCCGAGCGTCTGAGTTCTTTACCAATGCTGTCCTGGATGAGAGCCACTGCACTGCGATGCAAACAGATTCCGCGCAAATCCGTCCACAAAAAGGCACCTCCATGTCAGACTTCCACGAACCCGTCCCGTCCCCTCCCGGGTTTCCTTGACGCCCAGCTGCCATGGCTGCATGAGCCACGGCCTCGGTGCAGTCGTGGCACTCCCGAGTTCACCATGTAAGATGTTCAACAACATGCAAGAAGCAGTAGTTGCAGATCCAGGAGCAGGCACGCTGTGTGCCCGTGCTAGGCCGACAAGGGAACTAGTGGGTGTGCTCTGAGTTGAGCCCAAATCAAACGCTGCATGACCGATGTCAGCATACTGAACATGAACATGAGGACGCGACACAATGCCGAACTGCTGTATCTTGGCTATAGTTTCCCTCACAAATCTCTCGGAAACTTCCCAAAGCACAGTGATCTGGACAGGCATGACATTACACTTCAGTTCCCGGAAAACTGCATTGCACCCTGGCACGCTGCGCGGTGTTGTCCATGAGCTCCTGTAACCAGATGCAGCAGGTCGGATCAGAAGTCTTCCGAAAGTAACCCGTTCGCGATGGGTTCGCAATGGTTCAGAATCAGACAAACGACATGCGCGACAGATCGCAACAGGCTGCATCTGCTGCGTGGCTCACAAAGACTTGTGGGCCAGGTGGCATGGCGGAAGCTGAAGGCAATCGAGTCCACCACGAGGGCACGAATGCGTGGTCTTCCCTGTGAAGCGGCAGGGAATGGACAACGCGACAACAAACAAAAACGCGACAGTGTCTAACACGAATGTATCCGGGCCAATGCCATGCCAATCGCATCGAGTGTTGCAATGCCCGAAGCCGCGCCTGAATGAAATTTCCGAGCTGTTTGATGGTGGAGTACAGCTCTGTCGCATCGTACTTGGCGAAAGCTTGCATATTGATTGAACCACTAGCATGCCATGCTCTATGGACCTATGGAAGTTTGAGGGAGGCTCCGCACGACAAACATGAAGTCGGCGCATCCCAGCCTCGGTTAGAACAAGAGTGCTGCCCCTGCGAGCACCCCCAAAGGAAGACATCTGCCGTCCTTGCCTCCAGCAGGCGGCAGACGGAAGCAGCATCGAGGGTCGGCCTTGCGTCAGAAAAAACATCGTTGCTGATGTAACAAGGCCACTGCAACGGCCTTGTCTCAGAAAGCAGTGCTTCGCAAACCTTGCATCGGGAAAGCACTCGACAGCAATCATAACTTCAGCAGCTTGCCCGCGCTTGCCTGCATGTACCGCTCCGGGACGAAAGATCCCTCTGTGTCCACATAAATCGCCTTGCAGAGCTGAGTGCCAAAGTTTGCTACAAGGCACTGAGCATCACCTCGGCCAGCGAGTCCGGCTCTGCTAGCGACCTGGCAGCAATGCGGGACAAGCCAAACACTTCGCAGGTCTGCGGAGTCTGCGGCTGAGGTGCGAGATCTGAGCTGCAGCACAGAGCTGCCTGGCACTCGCGGACCCACGTCGATATGATATGATGCGCGACTTGCCCCATCAACTCTAGCCAGAGTCGCAGGCAGAATTGTGTCTTGCCGCTGCCCGGGAGCCCGCAAACCTACGAATGAGCGCATTCTCATGGCAATTACCCAAAGGTCGGAGTACCCCACCTCGAGCAGGGCGCCTCCACCATGCAGGGCGCTGCCGAGAAGCCCATTCAGGCCTGCCGAGCTTCGCTTCAGTTGTTGCTCTACCAGGTGCAGCAAAAGGTGCATAACTTTGCAAATAATCTCGAACCAAACTTTTTTAGATGCAGTTCGCGCTGCGGGTCTCTTCAAAAACTTCAGACTGGCAGCACGACCATGGGGAGGTGGACATTCAGTAGCCGTTCTCGATGTAGCGCTTGACCAGAGGGCTGATGTAGCCCTTGCCCTTGGAGGTCTTGAACTTGGCAGGGTTGATGCCGTTGTACATGGTCTTTGCCAGATCGATGGCAGAGATGAAGACCACAAGAGCAATCAAGAACAGGCCAGCCACCTGCCCATCCGTCAGGCCGTCCTCCTCAGCCATTGGGATCACAAGGCCAAGCTCCTGAGTGCGCTTTCCGCCGGGAATGCGTGCCAGCAGCATCTGAGCATCCATCACCTGCTGGTCGTAGGCCCAAGCTGGCACGGCCATTGAACCTGCAGCTGCGCCTGCAGCCAGCGCAGCCCCTGCAGTCTGGCTCTTTGGCGAAGGGACGAAGGCCTGAGGCGCAATCAGCAACACGGCAGCGGCCACCAGGCACAGCACCAGAGGAGAGCGGTAGGCCATGATAACTGATGGGTAGGAAAGCTTGCTTTAAGCAAACGTGCTGATGTACTAGCCGGCCTGAACAAAAACTCAGCGCAACCATGTTCACGTTAGCATGGCAGACATCAAGTGTGCATGCATAGCGAACTGGCCTCGTGATCATCCGAGACCGTGGAACGATATCTAGACTAATCTTTCGAGGCCACAGGCCCAGGTGTCTTGGGGGTTAGCTCACATACCATCACCCACCCTTCACCTCCCCCCGCCCCAGCCCCCTGCCCCGTTCTCCCTTCCATTCCCCACCCCCAGCCCTCCCCCGCCCTTCCCTACCCCCTCCGTCGCTTACCCCTACGGAGCCGAGGCGGGCGACATAGCGTTAAAATTCGAGTCGCACGTGAGCTGATGTGCTGAGGTACTCTCAGGTCAAGTCCTTTTTGATCTGCAGCAGCAGACACGACGGGCATCCACTGTAAACGGCCCCGTACACGGGCTTCTCCTGTCTGACTGGAGTGAGCTCCTTCTTTAAAAAGGCTTCACGCAGACTGGCAGCACGACCATGGGGAGGTGGACATTCAGTAGCCGTTCTCGATGTAGCGCTTGACCAGAGGGCTGATGTAGCCCTTGCCCTTGGAGGTCTTGAACTTGGCAGGGTTGATGCCGTTGTACATGGTCTTTGCCAGATCGATGGCAGAGATGAAGACCACAAGAGCAATCAAGAACAGGCCAGCCACCTGCCCATCCGTCAGGCCGTCCTCCTCAGCCATTGGGATCACAAGGCCAAGCTCCTGAGTGCGCTTTCCGCCGGGAATGCGTGCCAGCAGCATCTGAGCATCCATCACCTGCTGGTCGTAGGCCCAAGCTGGCACGGCCATTGAACCTGCAGCTGCGCCTGCAGCCAGCGCAGCCCCTGCAGTCTGGCTCTTTGGCGAAGGGACGAAGGCCTGAGGCGCAATCAGCAACACGGCAGCGGCCACCAGGCACAGCACCAGAGGAGAGCGGTAGGCCATGGCTAGGGAAGACTTGCAGAAGCCGTGTGAAACTAGAGTACCGGATTTGCCTGCCAGCCTGACAATACGGGGCGTCGAGAACGATGCTGACAGTCACATTGGAGCAAAATCGCTTGTTGGGCACAGCTGCAACTCGCTCGGCCTGCACAGGGTAGCCTGAGGGGCTGCGCAGCAGAAGTTTTCTGAAGAAGTGACAGCGCGGAGTCGGCGGAGCTCCAGGCCTGGAGACTTGACGAGTGGCTAGCACAAGGAGAGGCTTGGACAGAACAGTCCAACTTCTTGCCGCGCTGCATCCTTCGAAGCCGCCTCCCGACGGCATCCCGCTAGCAGAGTGCTGGCGCGATGCTCCAGGCCAGCAACATGGTGCTGTGCCAGAACCTGGACTTGGCACCGTTGGCTGCGATTTCCACGGTCTATGGTGCCTTTGACCGAGACTTCCAGCACTTCCCGTTTTTTTTGAAGAATCACATGCCACACACCACACTGAATTCGGGACAGTTGCTTGGCAGTCAAATCAAACGTTACGGTACGACAGCCCGAAAAAGGAGCTCGAGCAGCAAGGAAATGCACACGATTGTCAAAGCGGTCGCGTGCTCTGTGCTCGCCGAGTCGCCTCCTTGAGAGTTTCTGGTCGAGATAAGACGTCCGCTGCAGTCTTTCGCCCCCGTGCAAGCAAAGAATCTGCTAGTGGAGTTGGGATGGACTGCAAGATCCTCACATCCATCGCCTGCAGCAATCCATGCCGGTACAAGAGCAGCGTTCGATCGGAAAGCCAACGTGACCTACCTGCTCAAGATACTGAACTCACAGCGATGCCATCACCAGATCTGTCTGTACTGTGCCTGCGCATTGACTAGAATCGGATCTGCCGCCATGACACTCAGAGCATGTCTGACCCAGAAAGCAGCATGCAGTGTTCCAAAGATCTTAGACGGGGATTTGAGTTAAGCGGCTGTGTGCTCAGATTTGTTGTATGCTCCGATTTGCTCTGTGCTCAGAGTTGCTTGTGCAACCGTCTGTGATGGATACTTCCGAGCCCAGGTGGAGATGACAACTCCAGTTGCCTCAAATCTTGACAGCTTGTGCTGACGCTGAACGAGCAACAAAAGAGCAAGTAGCAGCCAGCCCAAGTTCAGCAATTTCTGTGGGAACTTGCCTGCCGTTTGGGTCCAGTTTCAGACCCCTCCTCACAGGTGGTGGGCCAGCAAGCATATCACTAGCAACTCCGAAAAGGATGTAAAAAACAAACGAATTCGTTGCACTCCCATCTTGACAAGAAAAGCCTTCACTGGTCGGCGCCAACCAGCGGTGTTCAGCTTTGTGTGCACAAGACTATTCTTTCAATTCGGGCCGGTGGATCCCAAAGCCCTGCACGAGACTTGAAGCACCTTTGGTGTCTCATTGTGCAGCTACTGCAGTGAAACGCCTATGCAACTTCCGATCATTTTGGTGCCAACTCGAAGACACTCCGAGCATACCCATTTCTAGATGGAAGTTTTCACAGACCCAAGTCTAAAATCATGACTGTGCCACTATGTCCATATGCTGTGCTGTGCATTACGAGCTGATCATAGCTCATCACTTCTCCAGACTCTGGGAAAACTCATTTCCTGAGAGTGCTAAGGATGACACCTTGCACGCAGCCTGTGATGTTAATATGATGATCGTGTATCAGAGTTTGGGCGCGCCGCCTGTCTGCGAACCGCTTCAGGCAAACCTCGACTGCAAGCTGTCGTCTTCTGCCACACCGGCATGCAAAGTCTTGGCAGTTGAATGGAACGGTGATTTTGGCTGACCCGGACAAAAGGAACCATCAGCGCAAAGCTCTAAGCACCGAGCCCGCAGGGCCATCTGCACATCTGCGATGGTAAGCTGGTCCGTTGCCTTGCAGCTTCTCGATCCAACAAACATTGAAAGCGATGTGGTTCGAAGTTCGAGCCTCCGGAGGCAGCCCGCCGACCTTCTGCTTGGCAGACTTGGCCTCCACGAAGCAAGAGACTCGCAATTCTCAGATGTTTGGAATGAAGAAGGAAGATTCATGTTTTGCGCTGTCAGCAACACTTGTCCGTACAAATTGGACGGGGCCAAGGGCTGCATCCTGGGTGCTTCGTCATGCCTCCACTTAAGCCTAGATCTTAGATTGCCGAATCGCGGGGCGAACCAGTTCAAAGCTCAACAGCATTATCAAAGGAGCGAGTGGATCCACTCTACCTCCGGCTTTCGCGCCACAGCCCTCCGAGGCGCCGGCACCCGGCGCTCCTTTGGGCCCTGCGTGACGGCTCTGCGTTTCTTTGCCACGGCGGAACAGCGACGCTACGACGCTACGACTTCTGGCTGCAGTGCTCTGTATACGGAGAAGGCAAGCCATGCTTCTCGTCAACAAACCTCGACTGTATCTGAAGCTTGAAGTCTCTTCGTTTGACATCCTACAAGCAGACAGCAAGGCATCAGGCCTTCTGCAATCGCCGCAAGAGATGCAGACATCTTCCTCAGCGATACTTCCAGGTTTTTCACAAGGTCGATTTAAGCCAGGAAATGCACCATCGCAAAGACACTTCCAAGGCCCGTTCTTTGCACATTGCTCCGGTGTCTTGTCGACCACCATCAAAGAGAATAACTTGTGTACCACGTCAAGGAACCTGACAACCCGAGCGTGGCAGGAAAGCCGAGCTATGCGACACAACCACTTTGTCTTGAACTTCTGAGAGCGTGCGTGAAGACACACCCGACGTTGTGGAACAGGTCGAAGGACACGCCGCGCATCTTCGCTGCCTTCGGGAAGAATCACTCAGGTGGTTTAGATGAGCAGAAGCCACTTGAGAGTCGGAGGCTTCCTGCTTCGACGCAGCTTCTGCTTGCATGTGGCCCTCGGGAACCCCGGAAAAGCTACCAGTATCAAGCGGCAGCAGCAGTCATGATAGCCATGGGATCAAAGGCCCAAGATAGACTTCACGTCTGCACCACAAAATCGCCAAATCTTGCGTGGGAAGCCTTGCACTATCCTGATGGATACCTGTAGCTTGTATCACATCCACAAACAGAACAAACTGGGCCCCGAAGAGTTGGGGAGTCCAATTTCCATGATGAAGCTCCACCGCCGCATCTGCAATGGAGACCCCAAGCTGCTCGCGGAGATGCAGAAATTCAAATTAGAGGAGGCTGTGCCTGGAGTGCTGTGATGGTCGAATCACTTCGCAAGTTGCCGAGGCCTCTACCGGTGCAAAGTAATGACGCGCTTCAAAGTGACCACACTGCTGAAATGGCCCAGTGACAAGGCCCGACGCTTTTAGCTGAACGGAAGGATCGATTTCTGTGCTACTCGGTGCAGTTTCGTCGACAGCCTTGGAGTTCTAGGGCACAGGAATACGTTGAATCCATTTCTGGCAAGTTAAGCTCAAGTCGGAAGCATGACTTGTCTCATCTACTCTCACAAATAAAAACACTGCCACATGCACAGACGAGCCTGAAACAGCACCTGGTGACTCATCTTTTCCAGCTGTGGGGCCAGCGCAACCTGGCAAGTTTTCTCGTCGAGCGACTTATACTGCACCTTATAGTGCAACTCAGCAACATTCCGATGTCATGATTATTGGAAAGATGTTGGGAAGAGCTTGGCAAGTCGAATTAGGAGCACGGCACAGTTCACCATTGCCCAGCGTTGAGAGCGCAGGATTCTTTCCTCCTGTGAAGGAGAGGACATGATCAGTCGCAACTGAGCCACAACTCTTAGGTTTGCCCCTGCTACAGGGGAGCTCCTCCGTCAGATCCTGATGGGATTTGAAATCCGCATCCTGTGCCTGGCAACACAACACTTGCCCAACTTGCCCACTGCGAATAGGCCCACAGGGCTGAAAGCTGGACCTCCGACAGCATGAGCCCGTGTACGGGATCCTGCTTCACCTCAAAAAGCGGCTGGTATGGGGTCAATGGCCGCTGGCACGATGTAGGGAAGGTCGGATTGGCACTCAAGAGGCGGCCTGGGCGATGAACTTCAGCGGGAAGAGCATAGCAGCCTGCTCCGATGTCCAAGGCTCGAGGGAAAGCCCAGAGAGGCACGGCGCCTCGTCCGTCAGGCGCGCGTCCACATCGACCACCCAGCCTCAGGCCACCATAGGCCAGCAAGATCCCAAGGTCCGTTACCCCCACGTCTGCCCCAAGCCTCACTTCCAAGGCCTCGAAGAAACTTGCATGGACAACACGCGAAGTGGGGTCCGTGCAAGCGAAGGGGCTCAACGTCGAGCCAGCACCCTGCTCCGGCCCACCCAGCATGAGGCTCACCTTTGTCGGAAAGGAACAGTTGCACCATATGTTACAACCCAGGCTGAAGTTGGCTCTCCTCGCCAGCTACGCAAAATTTGCAATTTCCCAGGCGTTGCACATACCTAGATGCTGTGAATGTGAGCGATGATGGCTCCGAGCGAAACATGACTGACAATCTGCGATAAGCAGATTCGTGCAGTGCAGAAATACTCTCACATACATACATACATACATACATACATAATCATACATACATACACACACGTGTGTACGTATATCGAGGAATGTGGATGAAGTGTACGTAATTCAGGCAGCTGATCGCAGCCAGCAGAGTTTGTGACGTCGTTGTACAGCTACTCACAAGGTCAGTCACATAATATGAGACAACTAATGGCAGACAACGGCAGGGACCTGCATCCAAATGACACGAACGTGCACTGCTGCTACAGTACGCTGGCTGCTTGCAATGATCGTGACTGCGACTGAAACGATTCATGTCAGAGCTGTCGCTCGTTAAACCCCAGCAGTCAGTTCCTGTTGCAGACCAAACCGTTGGGCGGCGGCTGGACCAGGTGTGGCTTCATGTTCAAGCTTCGTTTTTGGGCGGCAGGCCCTCGAAGGTATGCTCCGTTGAACGCTGCACCAGATTTAGTGCAAATGGCAATCCAAGCAGCGCAAACTACTGACCATGGAGCGGAATCAAAGGCTGGCTCTCAATTGAGAACCAGATGCCTTCCGTGCCCAGCCCACCCGTCCCTTGGCAACCATGGCATTATCCGAGTAACATGTCATGCGTAGTGACTACACTAGGTCTGATGCATGCGGCAAACCACCCAGAGCCAGACACGGCAACCCCCCTTATCCAAGACGCACGCAGGATCGAAGGACTGGTTTTCCCGCTTCAGTTGTTCCTTCGGACATGGTATGAGGTCTCATGCCTTCTGCTAATCTCCGGTGCAGAGGCTGTCCTCGTGAACCTGAAGCGCGGCATTGTAATCTGCCTGCCTACTTTCAGGCAAGCTGTCTGCCGACCTTAAGACTTGAGAGAAGTTGGGCCCCTAGCGCTGGATGCAATGACCACATCGACATTGGTACTTCTGGGGAGCAAACGGTCGCAGGTCGCCGTTGTCCACGCTGATGTCAGGCGATGGTGACCTTGCGATCGAGCTCCGGTGCAGAGTAAATCGACAGAAGTGAACAGGCAGGCAGTCGATTGCAATAGCCTCTGCGCCTGCTGACAGCGGTTGAGTGCACAGAAGATCGCAAAGCACCACCAGTGTTCAAGGCACCCGACCGGAGGTTGCCAAACATGAGGTCCTGGTTTTGAAGACTCGCCCGGCAACTTATCCCGGGGTTCAAGATGGATAATGGACAGAATCAGCATCAACTCACTGGCAGGGTCCTCCGGGTTCACCGGCGTGTCGCTGCCGATGATTGCAGGCGTCGACTCGCGAGGCTCCTTGTTGTGACAGGCTCGGCACTGCCCTCTCACAGTGGCTCCACTCTGCACTCCAGAGTTGTTTCGTGCTGTTTGGAGATTTGAGCGCCGGTCCGACACGAGCTCGTTGGCATCAAACTCTGGGTTGTCAAAGAACACCACATCCTGGGCCCAAAGTGACGCAACAGTCAGATCATTCGACCTGGAGGTGAGCTAGTGCAGCTTGGCGACAGCCGATGCAAAGCCCATGAAGCCCTGGGCATCTTCACTCTAAGCATTGGCCAAGCTTCACCCCGAGGCCCCAAGATCCCAAGACAAAATGTAAACACCATGAGGGCAACATAGGGATCGCACCTTGGCTGCCAGGCAGCGACCGAGTCGATAGCCCACTTCCTGAAGAACCTGCTCCCAAGCTCGTTGCCCCATCCCCGTTGCAAGCATAGTTTGGGCCCCCTCCCATGAGATACACGAGTGAAGAGGCCTCAAAGCTTCCTCGTGAGTGTGGGTACCAGGAGGCAGCTCGCACGAAGGGGGTGCTCATAACAGCCTCTCAGCACGAAGCTTGCCCACAAGTCAATTGCTCATCTTCGAGCTGCTGGCACGGCTTTTCTGCCTCCGACGTACCGAGGATGTCGATAGCGCCATCTGGCGCAACTTGGAAATGCCTCCGTGAGCTCAGAAAGCTCGAGTTCGTCCAAATCCTTTTACAGCTTTACACAATTCAATGGCACCTCCGTCTTTCACGAACCGCTGTCGAAGGTCTTGCACGCTAAGTCTGAGCTTCGCGCACGCTGGTCTGGGAGATCATGTTCTCAGGCGCAGCCTGAGGCAAAGGAAAGCTTTGGCACGACAGCAGCACTTAAATTTCAAGAATGCTGCATATTCCGATGCTCCTGCCTGAATGACGCAACCAATGCGGCAAGCTTCTGCTAGCCATGAGGCGAAGTCACCGTACACCTTGCACTGTGAGCACTAGATGACAACACAGACATCAGCGCTGCTAAATTCGTAAGGAAACGATGCGTGACGCACACGTTTTGCTCTGCTCGCAGACGCTTGGAATGCATACAGTACCCTTGTTCTTGGCGACCACATTGGAGCCTACACAAAAGAAGCTGCTGTTCCTGTAGCTGTGCTTGGGCAGCAAGCCCGCTGTTGCCACCGCCGCTACAGTGTTGTCGGTTCCCGATTCACACCAGTTTTTGTTTAAGCATACTTCCGAGTGTGACAGTGTGGGTTTAACTTGTAGCTGGTAGGACAGTTTCATTTCACCTGTTAACGACCTCTTGTACAGTCTCTGTAAGAGCCAGGTGGCCGTTTGGTAATTGCGAAGGAACAGTCAGATGACTCCCTAGACAGCGAGCATGCAAAAAATGGCAACGTTTGAAAGCCCCTTGAAACGCATCCGCGAGAGAGCGACCTCAACCTCTGCACATCTCTGCACAATTTGAAGTGGTCTCGTCAACAATCGAAACGCTGCGAAAGTGTGGTGTGGACAGCTGACCTAAGATCCTGCCCCTGTTTTTATCCTGGCACGACCGCCGCCGATAAAGCTGCTAAGAGCGATCCGATTAGACTGTTAGACCGGGGTGATTGTCATGCGATGCTGCTGTGAGCAGCCGAACGAGTAGAGCTTCGTGCGAAAAGTCACTAGTGGCACTAGCGACTGAGAGGATAAGGAAACATTTTTTAAAAAAAAACATAAAAAAAAAACACAAATCACGTGAGTCAAGAAGCCTGCCGATGACAAAGGACAGCCCGCTTCGGCACGTGATGCTGCAGCGCAGCACGAACCTGACACGTCTTCTTCATTTGCCCAAAACCAGTAGCAGGTAGCCCTGCAGTTTACCAGGTTGCCTCAGTGGCATCGGCACCGATAATGGCAGGCTCCTCGTCCTGAAACAACGGAGATCTAGCAGTTGCAAAGCCACGACATTTTTCGGCCGTGTGCAACCGCCCACAAGGGTACCTTCCACCGATAACGGTTCTACAGCGATCTGAGTCTTCAACCTCGGCAGCCGTGGCACCTGAATGAAACGCTCCTACCCGGACTGACTTCGCCACGCGGGTGATGCACTGGTGCTGCCCAGTCGCCCAGACCATCAGGGCCTTGACCTAGCGTGGCACGGACCGACAGAAGTCACGGCCAAACCCAACCCAGCCCAAGGCCTAGAAGTGCCGGTGCCGAAGCATTGACGCTCTGCTGGACCTGCCATCAGCAGCGACCAGTCTTCGAGGTCCTCTGAGGCCAAGCCCAAGGCCTGGTGCAGCTTGTAGAGGTCGATGTAGGCTGTGCCCCTGGAGCCCCTCTCGTCGTCGATCTTGAAAAGCCACGTCCGCACCTCCATGAGCAGATGACATCATATCCGTCAGACTTCAGATGTCCTGTCCTATCCCCGAACCCGAACAAGCCAGGAAACAGGGATCTGTTTCCAAGTTTGCGCAGCCTCCTCGACTTCCAGCAGGAAACGAGGAGCCCACAACCGCACAGGAACACTTTTTGGCGTCATAAGAGCAGGGCGCTGTCTCGCTGTAAATGTGACACCACACTCGCTGACCCCCGACGATGTTATACTCATCAATGCACAGCACGAGAGCTGGCAAGGAAGCCTTTCGACTTTGTTTTCATGGAGAGGGACAGGACGAGCCAACTAAGCACTCGTATCTTCCACACAGCAAAGTCCAGTGTGCGTGGCTGTTGGATGCTTTTGGACACCAAATTGTGCTACGCCTGCCGATCAGCCGACCAGGCCATCAGCCGAACCCTAAGCCCTAAACCCTAACGCTACCCCTAAACCCTAAACCCGAAACCCCTAAACCGTCTGTTCGGCTGATCGGCTGACTGGTTGATGCACAATGAGCGAACCGACTTTGCGAACAATGGCAAAGTCAGCAAAATCCATATCTCATATCTCTGCAGGTGAACGTGGAGGACAGCTCTGTGATCCGACACATCATCTGCGCACTGTGGCACATCCTCATAGCCCGCTAAGGTGTGCGGCACGAAGACCAAAGCCGGGGAGAACAGTCACGCCCAAAACGAGCCACGAAGATGAAGCAGAAAGAATACCATGTACCACCCAAGTCCGACCGGTAATAGTTTGCTTCAGGCTTCCCCAAGGCTACGACTCCCGAAGACCAAGTCATGACAATCCTCTGCACCACCCCGCTAACCGGCCCTAACCCAGCCTGCCCCACCCGGCCCACCCACCCGAACTTTTCATTATTTTGCTGCAAATGTCTCTCTCTCTCTCTCTCTCTCTCTCTCTCAGAATCTCTCTGTCTCTCTCTCTCTCTCTCTCCTCCCTCTGTTTTGACCCGCTCTCGGCTTCCAACCCACTTTTCCTGCCCACCCCCATGAGTTCGTTTCATGTCGCCCTGCAGCCCTCCATTGCCCACCTTCTTTTCACATGCAGCAGCGGCAGCCCTCAATTTCGACCAAGCACATATGAGATGTTGCACGTCGACAAGCCAGTTTGTCTGCCAACGTATCTAGGCACCTAACATGCTGTTCACGCATGTGATCAGATCCGACGGTCGGCCTTGGGATGCTTGATCACGAGCCCGGCTAAGCAGGTGAAGAATTCATCCTGCGCGAAGTACACAATAACGGAACTTTCGATAATTGAAAACTCCTGCTCGCGAAGTCCTCGTCGTAGATATCCACCGCCCACGGCCCTACTGGCAGCTGGGCCAGCTGAGTCAGCTTCTGCAAGCACGAGACCGATGACCGATGGCGCATTCACGATCGCTCGAGATCCACATTGCCTTGGCATTGGACTTCGATGCCAGGAGCGACATGTTCCTCGAGCTCGGGCCGATGAGAGGCAGCCTGGTACGCAGCTCTGTGAATCCACTGTGCACTCTTCAAGCTTGTCGTGAAGCCGCTTGACGAACCCAGAAGGGTCGGGAATCACCCTGCCTCAGGGCACAACTGAGCTTCGCCTCGACGTGAGTGACAGCCTTACGCCGGGCTTTGATTGCCTACGATATCCTCGCATCTCTTCGCACCCAAATACCGCCAGCATCATGTAGGCCAGGCACTTCCGGAATCAGCATCGCCATGCGGTTGCTGACCAGTCTTCGTACACGCTTCAGCGCCTGCTGTAACGGCAATCAGACTGGTGGCCTGTGGAGAGTGACTTCGAAAAGAGCTCTGCTGAAACTCTTCTGTCTAGACTCTAAGGCGTGTAGTGCGGTTCATTGCTTGTGACGCTGCGCAACTCGTGCACTACCAGCGTATGACACCATTTCACGTAGTCGTAGAGGACTGTGATAGGTTTTGGGCGATAAGACATCGAGCTTCGACATCCTGAGCCCCTTCCATCAGAAGCCAACTGCGGGGTCTTGTCAATCCCTCGGAATATGGAGTATCTTGGCGGCGTTCCCCGCTGTCGGGGGAAGCTCAGGATGTGTCCCAAAGGTCGGCTGACTTCGGCGAAGAGTTTGTGATTCGCATCGCTCTGCGTCTACGTACGGCCGTGGGGGCAGAAAAAGACTGCTTCTTGCCTTCGGCGAACACAGAAGGGCCTGCCAAGCTTGTCTTGCTTCGAAACACGTTCAATACGTTGAACCAGCGTAGCATGACTGACTGGAGTAGGCCTGTGTAAGAGACATCTTGTCCTTAAGGTCGATGTTTTCCGGCACCACGACCTGACATAAGCATGAACAATCGGATATTAAATGGAAAAAAGCTGCGGAGGTCAGGTCGGCGATTTGCGCAGCTCTCCCCCCCCTTCCCGCACAGAGCATTGCAAATTGGCCTGAAACCGACCAGGAGGATTCTGTATGCCCCTAAACTGCATGATCTTGGAGTAATAGTCCAGCACATCCTGACACATCATCACATCATCGGGAATGCTTTATGGCACCAGTCAAGGCCACCTCGTGAATGTGCTTTGGAGCCACAAAGATGATGTCCTGCGAGAACTGGCGACTGCTTCACTCGACTGAAGCCCTTCAAGTGCTTCCATGTGGAAAACTGTGCTGCGCAGCTCTGGCAAGTCCCGTTTGGCGTCTGCCAGGCGGAAGATACGGGCGATCTGGGCAGCTTGCATGACCTGGAGGCCCGACGCAGGCTTGCCAGCCAGACACATGGCGTCAATCGGCCGGGATCCGGCCTGGTAGCCATCCATGCGCCGGCGTCGGTGCTCTGCGATGCTCAACGAGCAGATCTCGGTAGCTTTCACATCCCTCAATCCGAGGCTTCAATCAATGAGCTGTGATCCGAGGGGCGTGAACCTCCACCCGGCGCATTGCCTTCGCCTGCACCAAAAATCAGGGAGCGAGCCGTCTTGCCCAGGCGCTGCCTGACCCGTGCGCCTGAAACCAATCCTGACCAATCTGATACATCATCATCGTCTGCAGCTTTCGGTCCTCCTCCTAGCCGAGCGATGGTGAGTTCGACGAGACCGGGTGGCTTGACATCCGTTACCGCTGCTGGGAGTCCTCACGCCGCATGAGCTCTTGTCGAGTGGCGCTTCTCACCAAGCAGGTGTGCCAGCCCTGGGTGTCATCATGCGGGACTCTTGATTTACATGTGATTCGATGCTGTGGCAGTGCAGGCTACTGCACCAGTGGGCAAGTATGGGCAAGTCTAATGCCGCAGTCGTACCGCTGTGCTTGCACAACCTGCCGTTCAAACGTGTGGCAGTGAACCTAAATGTTGCGGAATTAGCTGCAAGTTGGAAGTCGTCTTTACTTATTGTTTGTCATCTTGTCTTTTCCTCTCCTGCTTCCCTCCCAGTGAATGGGAATTCCGATGTGCAAGGTCCTCTTTTCTCGCAAACTGCTGTGATATTCCATCGGAGGTCCTAAAGGTTGCCTTTCGTTGTGATAAAGCTCGGCTCGGATTTCAATCCTGAATTCCGACATCTGGTTCCCACACACGGTTACTCCCCCTTCCCCTCCTTGGAAGTAGGTCGTTTCGTTATATTTTCTTTTCCCTGTTACCGGCACAACGCCAACTGCCACAAGCACTCCCCCTCCCTCCCAGCGCTCACATGAGAGGTACAACTGTCGGCAGATCATGAGGACTCGCACGAAATCCGAGGCGTCCGCAGATTGAATGCAACGAGCTGCCCTGTGCGTGGTCCGCAGCTCCAGATACCTATCAGCTCAAGGTGCAGGAGATCTGCTGGACACTCCACTGAGCTTTCGCGATACCAAGGCATACCAAGGCGTTCAAATCCGGAGTCAATAAGACATGCCAAGATGTAGGTCACAACAAGCCGGCATGGAGGCTGCCGAAGCATAGCGTCAGCTCAAAGCTTCAATGCATCTGAGAACGCTTACCATCTGCATACCATATTCGCCGAATCCGCTTGTGAATCGTGGTGGGTGAATTTCGTGCTGTCGGGAGATCAGCACGGAGCGATTTCCACCCGCTCACTCTGCCTCCTTCGCTGCGCTGCCATGCGCCATGCTGCTGCTATAAGTGATGCGGCTGCATCCTGGATTTCGGCCTGACTGAAAGGCGAGAGTGTCCAACAGGATTGACGCATTGGCCCGCCTTCGTCGGACCGGCCGGCAATACTGCGACGGCCTGCTACACAGACAGAGGCTCCAACGCTCCGTCTTCCAATCATTGCCAGCTCCTCCAGAACTGCAGAGTCGTCTCCGGCCGCGTCCAGCAGCTCGGTGCAGAAAGTTCCGTAAGCCTTCCGTGGGCACGGATCATGCGCAGTTCCATGATGCACATATCTTCGATTCGCTACCAGGCCGGACCACTAATTCGGGCGACTGGTAACTCAAGTCAGCCGATATGATATGCGTGGCTGCTCCTGGCGAATCTCCGAGCCTTTTCGCCTGACGCTTCTTGCTATGGAGTCGAGACAGCGCTCCGGGGACAAACACTCCTCTGCGACGTAATCAGCACTTACATGAGTCCACCTAGCTAATTACGGCAGCTTGAAGTGTTGCTGTTACGAACCGCTGAGCAACCTCGGCCTCTAAACCGTATCTGCTGCTGGGCTCTTCAGACTGTGATGCCTCTTTCGCCCTTGCGCCTCCATGATCAGCTTGCGTTGAAAAATGCTGGCTCTTCAGCAACGCAGCATGGCCGGTAAACTTCCCAATAGATCCCAGTGCCATCGGAGATCTAAGGGATGAAAGGGACGCTTGCTTTAGATCTGGCAATTCCAGCACGTGTTCCGCTTCTCCTTGCCCCTCTTGCATCGGGCCACACCTTTGACGGTTCTTCCCGGGTCGCTTACAGAAAGACAAGACTGTGTCATGACGACAAGATGGCTGCACGGGGGGGCGGCAAGGGCCAGAGCGAAGGTGCACCTGTGTCTTGCCTGTACAGAATACGCCGCTTCAGCTCCGGCCGGCCACACGCACGTACAGGCGCGATGGCAGGTTTCAGGACAACCATCACACCAGGTTTTCATCATGCGGTCGGCTGACGGGAATGATTACAGTTTTGGTTATCTGCTTCATATCAAACACAAGAAGCGACATGCGCTACTGCCAAGTCTTATCCTCGCAACAAGTCATCTTGCTTTCACATGCTACTATCTTTTGACCGAACTTTCACTGTCTCCTTCATTGCCTGTCTTTCGAGGCCTTGATCCCTGCGTTACTACCTGCAGAAGTCCCTCACTGCCGGGCCGAGGGGCCTCCGCCACGGATCCGGCCGCTGGTTGAGGCGGGGCGGGAAGCGCGGGCCTGAAGAACCGAGGGTCACTTGCAGTTTGGGAAACTCACCCTGCAGCAAAGTGGCAGAGGCGGCAACGGCGGCAACTGGGAAGTACGGGCCTCCAAGCAGGAGGAAGGCAAAGACTGCCAAGGCTCTTGCAAGCAGGGCCTGTGAAGCCTCTGAGCTGGGTGGATCCTGTCTGTGGCTCTGATGTGTTCGCCACAGGGCTTGCAGACGCTTGCAGACAGGTCCTCTGGAGGGCCCAGAGTCCGAAGCACATGTTCTCGCAGATCCAGCCTCACCTCGAAGCGAAGTGCAATGCAAAGCGGGAAAGGATCACATAGGCCTAGGCTTGCCTTGGCCAGGTCCTCAGCTCTGAGGTCATGCCGCTCCTGCTTCAGTGCCTGCATGGCGAACCATGGAGATGCCGCTTCGACAGCCGGCTGGCGGGTAGCCCTTTCCATGCAGCGGCCGCGGCCTGGTCGTAGACAAAGGCCGGCCGCTGCATAAGGCATGGCATGCCTGAGTCGAGGTCTGGGGGGCCGGGCCGCCCGTAGTGGTTTCCCACTGCGGAATTGTCGTTTGGACTCCAGCCTCGCTCCATCGCAGGCGTCAGGTCCGCTGCCGGAGGGATGAAGCCACGAGCCGCGAGATCCAAAAGCCCGGCCTGGTCCACAGCGCTCCACAGTTCCAGACGCGGACTCTTCCCAGCCACTCTTGAGACGACTGATGGGACAGCTGTGCCCTGCGCCTGCAGATCGAACTCCGTCAGAGCCGGAGGATCCGCAAGGGGATCACTTCGATTGATCTGATCGAGAATGCGAACAATCAAACTAAATGCCCTGTGGTGGCCAAAGAAAGGCCTTGGGCAGCAGCCGCCTCCGACCTGTCCTCGGTTTCAGACAGCGGAGCGGGACCAGCTCACCTCGCGAGACCGACCTTCACATTATGCGGCTCTAACCTGTACAGTCGGTAACATGCTCGCAACACTCCCCCAAAGACATCCATGGGACAAATGAGTCTGTAAACGGAAACTCGTGACGAATGCCTGTTCCGAGATGGGCTCCTGACGTTTTGGCGGACATCTGTCGCCCACCGGTCGGTGCTCTAAGCGGTCTTCTTGGCAAGCCCTGGCAGGCAAAACTCGAATTCCGTGAACGAGCCCGCCCCAAAACCGATTTCGAGGCCCATGCCGTGCTCGCTGCTCGGGTGCCGTAGCTGGGCGGCGCTGCCTCCAGAAAGAAGGCATTTCTGTCATGGCCCCAACAGTCAACGCCCTGCCAGGCAGCCTCTGTTTGTGTGCCAAGAACTCTGGGGCCCCGGCCGGGGCCCGTGGGAATTGCGGTGGAGGTGGTCCAGGCGGCTGACACGAGATTCCGGAATTTAGTAATGACAGTCAGGCTTTGAATTTACAAGCAGCGCAGAAAAACACAAAACTTTGGTTCGATGCTTCGTCGCTGACCTACAAAACGCTATACAGAAACCCAAGACGGAAGCCAAGTGGATTACGGTAGATTTGGCCATTGCTTATTCTTGTCATTTCTCGATCCTGTCAAGCGAAATCTCATGCATTCGATTTCCTGCTACCGTGGGTGCCAACCCGACTGCCCTGCGCCCGTGATTCCTGCGTCCAGCCGCACAGCACCCAAAAGCCCTTCTAATGCGCGCGCTGGACCCGGCTCCGTCAAGTGAATCCTGGAATGTCCTCTACGGCGTACAGGGATGCAACTTGTCTTGGGATTTCCAGCTTTCACGCTCGGGCAGAGCCTGGGTTTTCAACAAAAACATTCTCTGGATTTGGATGTACGCAAGCCGAAGAACCGCCCGCAAACCCTTGGGGCAGGAGTCCTCTGCCGATCTGGGGCTCTGGCTGTAGATCTGCGTGGCGCAGCATAGTCTGCACCTAGCCTCACTGTGCCAAGGCCGAGCGCTGCCAGCGATGGGTAAGCATAGCTAAGGCAGCTTAGGATGCTACGATGCCGCCAGCGAGTTACCTTTGAAGGGGGAGAGAAGCCAAGCAGCTTGCACTGCGGGCAGAAACACGCGTTGACTCGTTGCATTTGCACGCCAAAAGACTGCTCAGCATCTGCCTGGAGCCTCGCGCCGCAGTCACCAGTGCATGGGCCTCCCGACACAGACGCAACCATGGGAAGCCTGTCAGTAGAAAAAAGCCAATACCGCCCTCTCCCAATTTGGACCGCTTGTGAGGTCGAGCAACGGTCAAGTGCCGTTACGAACAAATCTCTCCCTGAAGTCTACGACACGAGAGCATTCTACAAGTCCCCCGGCTCTCTTTGTAGGCCAGGACAACTTCATTAGCTGGGCACAGCAGCACTGACAGTGCAACTGTGCATCTATCACCGTGCACTTCGACTTGACAACACTGGATGCAATCAAGCACAACAACTCTCTAGCTTGATCTGGTCCAAGCCAAGTCCGGAATTATGAATTTGTACTGGATGTACAGAGACCATGCCGGCTGCCATATCTCACGTGTAGGCAAGCTCCAGCATGCGAGTCTCGTGAATGGCACGATCCTTGGTGAAATGGTCACTTCCGTCAGACTAAATTGCATCAGTTGTTGGCACTCTATTGTAAGTCTGAGCTGCCAGCAAAACATGTTTTGCTACTCATGTTGAATGGGTTCCAGACTTTTGATACCCACAGGTTGCTTAAGAGTGTCGCTGATACAAATGCCAGACAGACACGCAACTCACATCGCAAAACCCTCTCCCGCACAAGGCAGCCACTTCCGATGTAATGAAAAGGAAGACCTGCCGAGTGGAAGAAGCTACCAAAGTCTGTGTACAGCAACCATACATCATGCCCATAGCCTCAGCATTGTAGGACAGCGTAGCAGGAACAGCATGAAACCTCGAGCAGGAGTCTCTGGGCAGCAAGTGCCGTAAAATTTGGATGCAGCTAGCCGAAGCGTTGAGAAGGCAACAAGAGTTCGATGCATCGCGTGTCCAGTGAATTGATGACCAGCTCGGGGGACCTGAAGAAATGCTGCCGAAGACGTCGAAACCAAACACAGACACAGTCGGCCAGACATCTCAAGGCACGGCTGCACTGTCACCAGAGCTGGTTCGGAACATCGCACGATGTACCTGCATATGACTGCATATAGTTGTCGGTCATGCCCGTTGCCCCACCGGCAGCTTCTTTGAAAGGCATCTTGGTGCGACAAGATCACATGCTGCAGTGTGTGCGGAAAGTGTTATAAAGGTCAGAGCATGCACGCCGAGCACAGTCACGGTGGTTTGCAGGAAGCTTCGTGAAGCCCATATCTGCAGGACAAGCACAACGTTGTATTCCACTGACAATTGCATGGAGAGGCCCCATGCAGAAAGGTGGACCAAACTCCAACCCAGTCATGCCAAGCAAGCCCAAGCTTCTCAGGGCACTTGATTGGCCGGACTGCCTGCGCGAAGCTCGACGCCCGGATGTAGACAGCGTCAAAACAAGCATCGCTGCGCCTCGTTCTTGTAAAGGAGGCGCTTGCGGACGGCGGTTAGGACCTTCGAAAAATGCACTCCCGGCAGGCCTCCAGGCTACCAATGTCTACCAAAATGCCAAGCTCCCAACGGGCAGAGTGATGCTGTGGACCATCTGCACGAAGAATGGTGTAAGAATACATGAGATACCATCTTCGCACTCTGGACAAGGGTGCCTTGACTTCTGGAGGATCTGCTGCAACCACGACAAGGAGTGCCTCAAACGTGGGCTGACAGCCTCTACTATGAGATGAGCGTGTTTCAGCTCAGCTCTTAGAAAGACTGAGTGGGGCTGGCGGCAACGAGCCGGCGCATCGCGGGATCCACCGCGTGCAAGCGGCAGGCGCGGCTTCCGACCTTTCAGCTCTTGGAGCTGTCGAGGAGGACCCACGGCCGTATCTCCCTCGGATGTCTGGTGCCTGCATGGAGGTGATCAGAACCGTGAACTTCACCCCATAGCGTGGATCCACCTGCCGCTTCTGAGTCCGATCTCTCCATTAAGTCACTGCTTCAGCACAGAACTGCACAGCTGCAGTGCAGCAAGCCTCTGCTGTATGCTGCACATTAACGACCTGCACTCTGATGTAGTTGCGGGATTGCAGGGCGAGCGGTTTCTGGCATGCTCGGCATGGCCTCGGAGTTCGAAGAATGCAATCGCACGGCTCCGGCATCCAGAACCTCCCGGAGCGAAGGGTTACCTAGCATCACTTACATGATTCGTCTGATTCGTGTCCGCGGCAGTCCGGGCGAAATGCTGCCGTCATTTTGAAGCGGAGATCCAGCATGCATGCTAGGGAGACGCGTGTGCGATTTGTCAATGAGCCTCCTGAGAAGGTTCAGTGCAAACAGCGACCGGTGCCCAGCTTTCGGGGCTTGGGCCGCGGTGCAGGCAGCTCTTGCTTCCTCGATGCCGTTCCGCGTTGTGCACACATCTACCGGGTCCGGCCCAAGCAGTCGGCTCGAACAAAAATTGCATCGACCCCTTCGAAACATGTCGTTGAGATCGAGATAACGGATTAGGTGTCTGCACTTGCAGCGGGTGGCTATCGCTGATGCATGTAGCGGCTGTAGCGGATTCGTGAGATGCAAACGTATCGGATGGCCTCGGCCGGTGCCAGGCCTCAAAGCAACACACTCTTCCGGCAAAGCAAGGCCAAAGTAGATCCAAGACCTGTAAGACTTGAAAAAATCGTCGTTCCTTGTCTGTGCTCTCCGATTGCTCCAGGGCAGTGGCAGATCGCACGCTCGACGCTTTGGCCCACCACCTTTTCTGTGCAGGGAAGCACTCAGGGCCAGCATGGCCCAGCCCAGCTTGACGACTTGACGTTGCATTTTACTAAGGCTCTGTCGAGACGGATCCGCTCAATGCGCAAGCCCTGGATATCGATAAGTTGGATGGCCACCTCAGCAGGAAATCGGCAATGACCGTGGGCGAACTCAAAAGGCTCCCACAGGAGGCCAAGGCAACTTGGTTAAAATGCGGATCCGCGTAGAAGACCAGAAAGAAGGACAACCTAAGAAGTTGGGATCCATGAATGTTGCTGTGGCTGATAAATTGCTATTGAGCTGTCAGCTCTAGGCTAAGTAACATCACTCCGAGACTAGGGCACGTTTGGCGATTGAGGAGCGATGAAACGCAAGGAGACCTCATCCTGAAACCAAACGAGTGAGTGAATCAGCCACACTGCTAGGACTGCTAGGATGACGAATCCGGGTCCTGCTCCTTCCGTTGCACATGAACCTTGGCCACAGCTGCCGTAAGGCCCCGGATGCTGCAGGTGGTGTCTTGTACGCTTCATGGCAACGCGACATCGACACTGCCAAGACTTTATGGGGCAAGGGCGTCTCTGTTGGTGCAGTACACGTAACAACTCCCTGATGACCTCGTGCCGCCAGGGCCCCAAAAGAACAGATTCACACGAAGAAGCGTTCGTTTGGCTGGGGGTCCAAGCGGGTCTGGTGAGGGCGGCAGTGCCACTGCCTCGCATCGCACCGGGCCAGCTAAGCCGCTAAGCGCTTTCGGGAGGTCTGCTAAACCCCACTTTCCGACCTTCTCGGCCGCAGTGCCCTCAGCCTCCCCATGGTGCTCCACACATAAAGCCGTAGAGCTCTATCGAAACCAGTCAGAAAGCACAGACACAACACTCTCATGAGCTTTTTGCACGATGACACGGACCTCGAAGAAGCGCACCGTCCGGTCGATTGAGGTGGGCTGGGAAACAACCGAAACCTGTGCACAAAAATGCGGACAAGCCGATGGCTCCCAAAAATGGCACAGGATGCGTGTTGCCTCCACGCATCGCATCACGGGGCCATGATCCAGAGCCACCTGCCCGGACATCAACAGCAGTCTCATGGCTCCCAGGCCTTACAGTACCGAATTGCGAGAGGGAAGGCCCGGACCAGTGCCACGTGTTGTTTCTGGCTCGGATTGGGTTGCCACGGTAATTGGTCAAGCACCCAGCCTCTCCACCACCCCAAGCCCTGCGGTCCCCGGCACCCGCCTCCGCATTTTTAGTTGGCCCTGCAGAACGGAGTAGGACAGGATGACCTTGACCCTCAAAAGGACAGGAAGCCAAGCCCGCCACCCAGAATGCTCCATCTACATCTTTGCATGTATAGGAGCCCAGCAAGTGATATAGAGTCTCTCCTCTTGATTCATAGTTGGAACTTCTGGTGCACTAACCTGAAACATCGCACTTTCTGCGCCTCCACCCTGAAATCTTTTCTGCTTGGCCCTGCCACAACCGCAGCCACATCAGCCAAGCGGAGGCCGGAAGGAGGGGCCTCGGCCCGCTCACTTTGGGGATGTCTGGGAGGCAGCTCTCCGGGTGCCATACCAGCTGGGCTGTCGTGTCGAAGCCGGGGAAATTGAAATCCAAGTAACGAAAAGGCAAGCCTCCGCAACGTGGCTCTCTGCAGCAGCGAGGCAAAGGCAATTGCATGTAAATGCCATCAAGTTGCTGATGCTTTCCTTGGGATTGAGAACGAACGATCCAGCAGCCAGGCGTGAAAAGTCGCCTGCACTTCAACCGAGCGCTTACCCGAACACCTTCCAAGTCACAAACATACTTCTATGACGCAGCCCGAAAGGGAAAGTACAACAGTGTTCTTCACTTCAGCAATACCCGCAACCCATCTTGATTTTCGACCCCACTATTTATACATTTCCTCCTAGGGGTGCCCCAGGCAGCCAGAAACGTATACAGGGATGGTTTTGATGTGTATGGTTTTGCACCACTCTGCTAATCGGACAGGTTACTCTCGGCATGTCTCGGCAAATGCTTCAGTCCGTTACACATCGCATCACATCGTCCCACTGTGCTCGGTTTCTGCTCCTCATGTGAGACTTTTTGCAGCAGGCTTCACTGCAGGCTACAAGTACATGTGATCATGTGGTTTTTGTCATGTCTCATCATGGAGGCTGTGACCGGAGAGCGCAAAGCTCACAAACATCCAAGGATAAACAGCGCAGCCCGACCAACTATGTCTGCTTTCGGAAATCCATGGAATCCCACCTACCTCTTGCATACATTTCCCTGCTGGGCGTCGGATTTTGGAATTGATGTACAGCCACCACCCCCCGCCCGTATGCATTATTTGGGCGTGGGGATCTTCAGCATGTAGAAAACCACCAAGCTTCGGAGAATGCTGTCGAACGGTTCAGAGAAGCCTTAGAGACCCACCGAAGTGGCAGTACATCAGCAAAGCATAACCACGCAGGATAATGGCATTGCCACCTGCCTGATGGTGCTGTGGGCACGACACCAAGCGACACGAGCCGCCGCCATTCCTGAAACAAGGGCGGACTTGGTACGGACTTTGACCTGCTCTGCGAGTTTCCCCGCCTCTGGGTCTTTGACCAGCATCAGGGCCTGCTCGGGCATGTCCATGAGAACCTTGGAAGAGCCACCCTTTCGAGCCCGAAGCCCATGCGTCTTCGCTCTGGGCCACCGGCGCCTTGTAGTGGCTGCTGTGGGGGCACTGCAGGCAAGACTTCCGGTGCTCGCGGCTTGTCCCCAGTCACCAGAACCGAGAAGACTGCCTGCTGCCCGTACGGATTGGTGAAGTCCACAGAGAAATACGAGGGAGTGGCAAAACTCGCGGTGAGGGACTGCTGTGTCGTGTTGAAGCGGTCCATCCTTCTTGCAACCTCTTGCTTCTTGCGCTCCTGTCGGGCCGACTCTGCCGCCGCCAGAAGCACGGAGTGGTTGGAAAATGGATCTGCTTGCAGATCTGATTTGCGAAGCATGCGCAGCTGCTTTAGCCTCTCGTGCTTCCGCTGGCTGAGCTCTTCAGCCACGGTGGCCTGGCCTGTTAGATGTTGTGCACCATGAAGCTCTGAACCGGGCTCGATCAGAGCTGACACTTTGTGGCGGGTCCTTCCACGGGGTGGAGAAGGTGCAGGAGGTGGCTGAGGATGGCCTTTGTCGTCTGGTGGTGGTGAGGGGAGGTTGTTGGAGTTTAAGTGCTGGTACGGAGTGGGTGTGCGGCCACGATTTACCAGTAGCATCCGCAGCGTTCCCTTGGGCTCACCTGACAAAGGCTCCAGTACAGCATATTCAGCCTCCACCTTCGCCACTTGATGTCCTTGCCTGACTAACATCTCAAGAGGCACTGATGTCGACCCGATATGCATGCCAGACTCGGCGCTCCAAATCTCGATGTCCGCACTGCGGGCACTGAGATAATTCACCAGGTGACGATGCACGGATGCAGCGGAAGTGGCCACCGAGCCGTTCACGTAGCCGTCCATGTGAAAGACCATCGCAAGGCGCTCGTTGGTGACGGCACTTCGCAAGAGGCAGGCTTCCCCTGGCTTGCCAGACAATGCTGCTGGTACCGTCCTCACCGGTGGAAACTGGAAAAAGCGCAGTTGGAAGTAGATTCGCTCCCCGTCCACAGGCGAAAAGCTGCGCAGTGTGAGGAGCTCCAAGGATATTTCGTCTGCTTGGAGCATGTCCTCATCCTCGAATTTCCAGCGGAGCTCACGCTTGGGAGGCACGCTCTCACCTGCGGGCACGGATGGTCCCGGTGGCTTGAGTCCTGCACCGCTGGTGCCTCGCAGGCAGAGCTATACGGATCCACTGTGAGCTGTGGCCGAAACTCTGCATTTACATGAAAAGATGAGCACCTGCCTTGCAGAAGGTTGGCCTTGTCCACGGCGCTGAGTGGCCGGGCGGGAGGGCCGGTTTCAGTGGCCACAGAGGACGCTTTGGGCTTGGCGTCACCAATGAAGTTGTCGTCGACACCTTAGTGAGTCTCGGGAACAGCATTATCACGGCCCCCAAACACTCGTCCAGGCATGCTTTAGCCCAGCCTTGAATCGCTGGTGGATCGCTTTGCACCGCCTGATCTCGCAGGTAGATCTTCTCCACCACGGGTGCTGGTGCTGGTGCAGGTGCTGCAACCACCATTGAAGCAGGCGCCAGAGTTGGCTGATAAACGGCCAGGCCCTTGGCGAAGAAGCCGCAACACGACTCGTCTTTTTGTTTGGTTTAATTTCTTAAGTCCTCGGCTGGCGCTGGCACTGGTGCCTGCACTGGCACTGGCAGAGCCTCGTCTCAAAGGCGCACTGTCTCCGAGGATTGTGACACATCAAGTCCGGGCAGCTGAGGCCATGGCACTTGCTGGCTGAGTTGGAGCCAACTGCGGAGGCGTGTAAGGAAGACCCTGATGGCGACGGAGAGATCAGAACTGTGCCACTCGCAACTTCTATTATGCTTGCCGAGCCTGTGCAGCTGGCACTGCCAGTGCCGTCTGCGGAGAGACCGACGGCCTCGACATAACGTGCAACGCATGCTTGGGGTGATTCGCAGCATCGCTTGAAAGGCGAGACACAGCGGCTGAAGGGTCATTGGCTTGGGCGGCGGTTCCCTGAAGCATTCGGCGCACAACGTCGGAGCACATGCGGCGGCTGCTGAGCACTTCATGCAGGCCAGCCGCTGGATTTCCGGTTTTGGCAAGGGTATGTGCTGCCGCAGCCACCTCAACGGACGTGGAACCAAGTTGCTAAATGCCAAAACGCAGAAGGCATCGCTGAGGCATCTCCGAGGCTGTGACTGTATCAAGCGGTCGCCGCAAAGCTGAAAGCTGCATGAAATCTTGCTGGCCTTGGTCGTCGGCAAAGGGCTGCTCGCCTGCCTTGCAGTGAGCAGACTGGCCATTGAAGCCTTGCCCATGGCTATCCCAGCTTCTGGCTGACAGTGCCGGCCGGGAGGGCTTCGCAGTCTCAGCTGGCCTGAACGTGCATGGCAAATTGCCCACAACTGCGCCTGAATAAGTCACACAGCGACCCATTTTAATCCAAGGAAGTGAGGACTGGCCTGGTCGAAATAGTGGTTGGGCCCTGGGCTGCTGGAGACCAAACCTGCAGAGAGGTGTCAGCAACTGTCGTATGCCAGGGACGACAGAGCTGCCTCCTCGGCAAGCATGGACAAGCCCGGCCCTCCGTAAAACTGCACATCGAAGGCCAAAGAGGGACCTCAAGCGGAGTTCCCCTCGGCAACTCTGCATCTCAAGCATGCGCAAGAAAGCTCCTGACGTTCGCCGGAAGCTGCGGCGGCTTTCAGGAGCCCCTCACCAACTCAGTCGGAGGTTCCCTTGCACGGCAAAAGTCCCAAATACTAGCCTCACTCGTCGTTTGGTAGAACGGGAGCAAAAGCAACCATCCCAGCGTCTGTTTCTGCCTCGGCACCGTTCTGAGCACTCGCGGACACCTCCGCCCCAAAGAGCACCAGGGACGCAGCAGTAGATCCTGGGGTTGTCCGGGGTCGGCCAGAAGTGGCGTCGTCGCGGCCTCCAAGCAACCAAGCAGCCAAGCACATCTGGGCCGGCAACGTTAGAGGTTCGTAGGTTTAGTAACAGGGCCTGTGTGACCTGCACAGGTGGTGCAGACGCACCAGGTGCCCGGAGCACGGCCACGAGTTCCACGACAACCGCACAGTCTGGGTGGCACCTGGCTAGGCCACGATACACATGCACGTATGTGTAACTTCGTCATATGCAGACATACGTACGTACATACATACATACATACATACATACATACATATCTATATATCCATATATCCGTATATATATATATACTTAGAAGTATACTTATTGTATATGTGTATGTGTGTATATATGTATGCACACAGCAGACATGTCACTCCAACTCAACTTCTCGGACTCTGGCACAAATTCCACAGGAACCTCGCCACCAAACCAGAACCGCTGGCCGTCCTCCTTTACAGCGGACTGGCCAGTGGCAGGTTCGTGTGAACACCCTCAGCCCTAAGTGCAGTCCAGCTTGTCAAGCTTCAGCCGCCACGTGTGGCCAGTGTCATCCAAAGGGTAGTGCGCAGCCATCCCTGCCGTGAGACCTGTCGACGACTGGAAAGATGAACATGTGCATCATTCTGGAGATACCAATGCGATCAACTCAAAAGCTCCAGCTGCCGCCTCGCCTCGAAGCGGTTCATCTAGCCAACGCAGCGTATTGTGAGAACCGACCTCAGCCAGATTGCGACCAACCCTCAGCCACTTCCAGATTCCAGACGGCCCAGCCAGGCACGGCACCAAGACATGAAGTTCCTGTAGCTCCCAAGCTACGCTGGCAGGCCTTTGGAAACGGCGGTCATCTCGTGCGCATACTGCAAAAGAAGTCTCACCGACACCGCAAACAGGAACGTATCAGGAAAACAACGTGACAGCTCCAACAACAAGACAACTCCCCAACCCTCAAAGAAGAAAACATTGCTGGGGTGGCACACCCTAAAACTTAAAGAGATATTGGTGGACAAACCCTAAACCCGAAAAGAAGATCGCGGCGCGACGCAGACCCCAAATGTAACCGCAAAACAAAACTCTATTCAGCAAAACCCACACGACTCAACCCCAACCCGCAAACCCAAACCCCGAAAGAAAAACAATTGGTTGGCAAACCAGAACCCTGACAAGAAGATGCCGCTTGCAATACTGGAACATCCTGGGAGGCAAACCGTAAAGTCTGGACGAAAATCGTTGCAGGCAAATCCCAAACCCTAAAACACAGGATGGTACTAGTGGTTGGTTGGCAAACACCAACCTCAAAAGAAGATCCCGGGCGGCAAACCGAAACCCTAATTCAAAAAAGTGGCTTGCATACCCTTAAACCTTCAAATGAGATCTTGCGCAACCTCCTTGATTCAAACCTCAACTGAAGGTGCTGCTTGGCAAACCCACGCCCCAGAACCCGAGCAAAACCGCAGTGGACCACAAACCCTAAACTTTAACAGGTGATGCTGCTGGGGAAACCCCAGACCCCCCTAAAAAGTAAGTTGGTTGGTAGCACTGAGCTTTACAGAAGATCCCGGTTGGCAAACCAAAGCCCTGAAAGAAAAAAAGAAACTATGAGCAAACCCGAAGCCTTGAAAACACATCTTGTTCAACTCCAGTGCCTAACACGCTGCTTGGCACAAACCCGAAAAACACATGCGCTGGCTGGCGAACCCTGGACTTCGGAAGCCTGTCTTGCTTGACGAACCCCAAACCCTCAAAAACAAATGGTTGGCAAACCCATTAATCAAGCTTGAAAGAAGAAGATGCTAGGTGGCAAACCAAAACCCAAGACTAAAAAAAATGGCGTGCAATCCCGACACCTTGAAAAGAGATCTTGCGTCACCTCAGTGACTTAAACTTCAACTGAACATATGCTTGCCACAGCCCGGAACAAAAAAAACATGGCCGGAAAAATCCCTACACTTTGAAGTCGATAGTGCTTGGCAAACCCCACACCCTAAAACACACCTGATTGATAAACCCTGCACGCTGAAGATAGTGGTTGGCTGCCTAAAACAAGATACCCGGTGGCAAACCAAAGCCCTAATTGAACAACTATTGGTTTGCAAACCCCTTGAAAAGAGAGGTTGCTAAACTGCACTAGTTCAAACCTCAACTGAACACGCTGCTTGGCACAACCAAAACCCCAGACGCTGGCCAGCAAACTTTACACAATAAGAATTGCTTGGTAAACCCCAAACCCTGAAACAAATGCTTTGCAAACCCGAAAGCTTCCAACCTTGCTTAACCCGAATGGCTCAAACCTGAATTGAAAATGCTGCTTGGCAAAATCCAGACCCCAAACGAGAAATAATCATACTTTGGCTGGCAAACCCTAAGCCTTAATCGCCTATAATGCTTGGCAAACTAAACAACAAACGGTTGGCAAACCCGAAACCCTGAAAGTAGTGGTTGGTTGGCAAACACCATGCCTAGAAGACGATCTCGGGCGGCAAACCAAAGCCCTAGTTGAACAACTATTGGTTTGCAAACCCCTTGAAAAGAGAGGTTGCTAAACTGCACTGGTTCAAACCTCAACACACGCTGCTTGGCACAACCAAAACCCCAGACGCTGGCCAGCAAACTTTACACACTAAAAATTGCTTGGTAAACCCCAAACCCTGAAACAAATGCTTTGCAAACCCGAAAGCTTCCAACCTTGCTTAACCCGAATGGCTCAAACCTGAACTGAAAATGCTGCTTGGCAAAATCCAGACCCCAAACCCGAAATAATCATACTTTGGCTGCCAAACCCTAAACCTTAATCGCCTATAATGCTTGGCAAACTAAACAACAAACGGTTGGCAAACCCGAAACCCTGAAAGTAGTGGTCGGTTGGCAAACACCATGCTTAGAAGACGATCCCAGGCGGCAAAACAAAGCCCTAATTGAACAACTATTGGTTTGCAAACCCCTTGAAAAGAGAGGTTGCTAAACTGCACTGGTTCAAACCTCAACTGAACACGCTGCTTGGCACAACCAAAACCCCAGACGGTGGCAAGCAAACTTTACACAATAAAAATTGCTTGGTAAACCCCAAACCCTGAAACAAATGCTTTGCAAACCCGAAAGCTTCCAACCTTGCTTAACCCGAATGGCTCAAACCTGAATTGAAAATGCTGCTTGGCAAAATCCAGACCCCAAACCCGAAATAATCATACTTTGGCTGCCAAACCCTAAGCCTTAATCGCCTATAATGCTTGGCAAACTAAACAACAAACGGTTGGCAAACCCGAAACCCTGAAAGTATTGGTCGGTTGGCAAACACCATGCCTAGAAGACGATCCCAGGCGGCAAAACAAAGCCCTAGTTGAACAACTATTGGTTTGCAAACCCCTTGAAAAGAGAGGTTGCTAAACTGCACTGGTTCAAACCTCAACTGAACACGCTGCTTGGCACGACCAAAACCCCAGATGCTGGCCAGCAAACTTTACACAATAAAAATTGCTTGGTAAACCCCAAACCCTGAAACAAATGCTTTGCAAACCCGAAAGCTTCCAACCTTGCTTAACCCGAATGGCTCAAACCTGAACTGAAAATGGTGCTTGGCAAAATCCAGACCCCAAACCCGAAATAATCATACTTTGGCTGCCAAACCCTAAACCTTAATCGCCTATAATGCTTGGCAAACTAAACAACAAACGGTTGGCAAACCCGAAACCCTGAGAGTAGTGGTCGGTTGGCAATCAGCAAGCCTCAGGCCTCAAGATGATCCCGGGTGGCAAACCAAAAACCCTGCAAGAAAAAAATCATTGGTTTGCAAACCCGAAACCTTCAAAAGAAATCTCAACTGAACATGCTGCTCGGCACAAGCCAGGCCATAAAACCCGAACAAAATGGGTTGGCAGACCCGAAACCATGAAAGTAGCTCTTCGTCGCTGGCCAATGCCTTAAGGAACACATCGATTAGCAAACCCTATACTTGGCTGGCAAACACCAACCCCAAAATAGTGGCAAACCGAAGCCCTAAACGAACCATTGGTTTGCAAACCCGAAACATTGAAAAGAATTTTTGCCTAACCGCAAAGACTCAAATCTCAACTGAACTTGCTGCCGGTACTTTGGCTGGCAAACTCTAGACTTTAAAAGTCGACATGGCTGGCTTGGCAAACCCCAAACCCTAAAAAGCAAATGTTTGGCAAACCCTAAAGCATGAAAGTAATGGTCGGTGGGCAAACAACCGCGGATCAAACCCCAAAAAACAAAAACGTTGCAAACCCGAAAGCTTCAAAACAGATGTTGCACAGGCTGCTTGGCACAACCCAGGCCCCAAAACCCGAACAAACTGGGTTGGCCAACCCGAGACCATGAAAGTAGTTCTTCGTTGTTGGCTTGCAAACCCCAAGCCCTCAGAAACAAATTGGTTTGCAAACCCTAAATGCTGAAACTATTGGCTGGCCAACACCAGCCCGAAACCAAGATACCCGGTGGCAAACCAGAGCCCTCGAAGAAAAACGGTTGGTTTGCAAACCCGAAACATTGAAAATAAATTTTGCTTAACCCCAACGATTCAAACCTCAATTGAACTTGCTGCTGGGCACAACCCAGACCCCGAACCCGAAACATTAACACTTTGGCTGGCAAAACCCTAAACTCTTTTTAAGATGATGCTGCTTGGCAAACCCCAAACCATGAAAAACAAACCTTGGGCCCTAAACTCTGAAACTAATGATTGGCTGGCAAATGCCAAGCTTAAAGGAAGGTCCCGGGTGAACCAAAGCCCTCAAAGAAAAACTAGTTGTTTGCAAGCCCAAAACCTTCAAAAACAAGCATGTTAACCTCAACGACTCGAATCTCGACCGAACACGCTGCTTGGCGAAATCCAGACCCCAAACTCGAAATAATCATACTTTGGCTGGCAAACCCTAAACTTTAATAGCCAGTAATGCTTGGCAAACCCCAAACCCTTAAACAACAAATGGTTGGCAAACCCGAAACCCTGAAAGTAGTGGTCGGTTGGCAAACACCATGCTTAGAAGACGATCCCGGGCGGCAAACCAAAGCCCTTACGTAAGAGGACATGTTCAGAACCCTACCAGAAAACCGTAGCTGAGACACCCCAAACCCTAAAACGAAATGTTGGCACGACCAAAAACCTTACAGAAAAATACCGACAAGAAGATCGTGGGTGGCACACCCCAAAACCCCCAACAAGAAACAGGGTTTGCAAGCCTGAAACCTGTTGGGCAAACCCCATTCCGTAGCGGAATATGTTGTGTGGCACATTCGAAACCCCTCAAAACGGCTAGCCCCAAACCTTAAGGGAAACAACAGGGTTGGCAAACGAGACCGTAAAACCTGAAAAAAAAAACGTTGCATTGCGAACCCTAACGTGCCAACCCAAACGCCAAAGCGGACCATGCTTGTAGACCCTAAACCCTCAAGCTTGCGGCTCAAAAACTCTAACAGAAGGGCCTGGGTGGAAGACCCCAAGCCCCAAACCCTAAAACATTAAGATTTTGGTCGGCAGACCCTCAAATCCTAAATCTGACAAAAGTTGGTAGGCCTTCAGACCCTGACACAAGATCGTGAACCACAACACCAAACCCTCAACGAACATCGTGGCTTGCGGTTTGCACACCCCAAAACTAGCCCAAACGCTAAGGGCAGAACCTGCTGGTTGGCAAACCCCTTACCTTAACAGACATGACCCCAAATACCATTGCGGATCTGCTGGTCCATGCGCAGCTCTGCAGGTCTATACTGCGCCAGCAGCAGCCGCAGCAGCAGCAGCAGCAGCAGCAGCTGCAGCAGCAACAGCAGAAAAAGCAGCAGAAGCAAGATTAGAAGTTGTTTTACAGTTCTCTGAATCGATCCTCTACGTTTTTCCAACGTGTGTGCTTTTGTTTTCCTGAATTCGGGCACCGTTTACAGAGAAGCGTTTTCTACTCTCAGGCTCCGACACACCGGCCATCTGCGGCGGCTGTGGGACCGACCTGCCAGTATGTCTGCGCTGCTCAACGGCAGGCATGTTCGGTTCTAGTTTGTTTTTCCACTCTGTATGCCACACTTGAGATTTTGAACAGCCACGTGACAGAGCAAAACCAGCCTGAGGAAGCTCTCCATCCAGCCAGCATCCGGCAGAGTCACCAGAAGCCCTGACATGCTGAGAGCACACAACAGCTGTTACAAGCCCAGACATTGAGCACCTCTGACAGTCACGTCGGGGTCAAGGGCATTGGCACTGAGAGCTCCATCGATCTGCAACCCGGACACATCCTGCCGAATCTGTGCAGGAACCCGTCTGGAAGGAGTGAATGCCGGTCTGGGGCATGTCAATCCAATCCTCTATGACTTCCAGGCCGCCCATGCGATGAGATTCTGTCACTGCCTGCCACGGTGAAGCATTGCACGAAACTGTCGGTGGTACGGTTTCCAGTCAGCGAACTTACAACAGCTGGACCTCTGAACATGGTACCAATATGTACCACTTACAGTGCACTAGTGTGCATCAGGGTAATGGTTTCTACGTGCGGTGCTCTCATGAATGCGCTCGCGATTCTCAAGCTGTCTCTCAAATTGGCACGGACAGAAATTTGTGCATGCAACTTCTGGGTCAGTGGCAGGAAAATCATGCGGCAGCAGGCGACGAGGTGCATCATCCAAAGGGATCACCTGCCACTATCAGGCATTTGATTGCAATCTTTGCAGAGGCGACATGAACGGATCAACCATACGGGCAGCGTCAAGCTAATTACATGGATTGGAAGGGGCTTTTCAAGAATCTCGGTGTGTACAAACCCCACCACCTGAACATCACACTCCAGCAAGGGCGGCTGCTTCGCCTCACAGTGACATTGCCGTTGCTTGTGGTGTTGGCACGTTCGCGCTGATAGGCTTCTCAGCGAACATCGTGCCTTGAATGTTGCCGCAAAAAGGCGACTTAACTCTGCCTCTGCGGCAGCAGTGCTCTTCCCTGGCGTCAGATTTCAGAGGGCCAGACATTTCGAAGTTGTATCAGCCAGGGCAGCCAGGGCCTGGAAGGTTCTTCGCCAAGTGCTCGCGAAGTCTGCCGGGCCGCAGCTCAGCCTTCAGGGCACCGCGCGACTCGGTGGCCAAGTCGAAGCCTGTGCGGATTCTGCTGAGGCCTGGGGATGTCCGGGGTCGGTCGGTTCTGCAAAAAAACGACCGGAAACGAGGCCGACCAGGCCGAGGAGCGGAGCAACGTCCAGGCCAGTACGCACTCAGGAGGCGGATCCGCATAGAGTGGCGCTGGATAGGTTCCACCAGAAAGGGGCCAGGCCGACTCTGCTCTGCCCCCGGGCGAAGGTCCCAAGGGTTTGAAGGGCTGGTCTAGCTGAGTTTGTGCTTGCTCGGGGTTCCCAGCAAGGGAACCGTTCCCTGACTTGGCTTTGGCCTTCGCCTGAGTCTTGGGCTGCGGCTTTGCCTTTGCGACTGGTACTGCAAGCTTCCAGATCCTCGCAGCATGCTAGCAGCTGCAAACATGCGCTCCAGCAAGATCACTTCATTGGAGCAGTCCTGCTTGCCGGGACTGTCGATCCAACCGCTGGCTTCTTGGGGGCATCCTTCTGCCCAGCTTGGGAGGCTCGGCAACCCTTACCCACATGAATCACTGTGATAACAAAGCAAGCATTGTTTCTTCAAGAAGTGCACATGCCGCTCTCCTCGAAGGCCAACACTTCGGCCAGAACCTGCACTTCTTTGCCTGGAACATCCAGTGCCTGCTGTGCTTCCGAGCTCCAAGAGCGCACTCGGGACCCCGCTGGCGACGGCAGATCTGAAAAAGAAAAGAGACGCTGGCTCTGCCTCAACAGAAGTGATCTAAGGGAAGGAAAGTGGCTAGCCTCACACCCGACACAGGCTCAGAAGCCAGCGATGGCATGAACCTGGGCCAAACAATCACTTCCCCTGTCTGCCGGTACTACAATTACAGGCACGGGGTGCCCACCACGAACGTTCCCTCACTGGCATTGCTTGCCAATCGGCTCTGGACCTCTGGTCCCATGCTGCGGTGTCTTGAAAGGGCTGTTACAACGAAAGCAAATCTCAGAGGATTGCCCGCTGAACTCGCAGTCGAGCACCAGAGAAGCTATAGCCGTAGAGCTCCGGCCTGTCAGCACACCGAACATCACCAAACAGTTGCCGTAATTTCAAAGATGAGGAGCACCTCCCACCCAGAGGGGTGTACAGAAGTGAGAGCCGGATCTGCAAATTCAGCGCCTGGAGGGCAGACGTCATGAAGGGAAGTGCTTTGATGAGTCTGCCCAACCTGCGGCATCTCTTCCTCCGCAGCACGTGCCAAGCGGGCGAGTGCCGCCCTAAGCACAGTTCACGAACTCAGACTCAGGTGTGCACTGAGCGGACTGAACCGGGGCAAGAACTTCTGCAAAGTACCGTTGGCAGCGATCGGGACCTCCATCACTCAAACACTGCCCCAAAACACTTGAAGTCCCCCGCGCCCTCGGCCTCAATCTCCCCCACCGCAGTCATTCGCACAACCTGAGCGAGTGGGGGGCTGGGCCTGTGCTGCGCAGGCCGGCCCCGGCCAACTGCGGTCTGGGCACATAGAGTCTGGACTCTTCGTGGCCCATAGCACCATGAGCAGGTGGTGTTGGACCCAAGCAACGGCGATCCTGCTTCAAAGAAAGCCAACTCTGCAATGCTTCCTCGAGGTCCACTGGTCGCATTTCGGGTGGCCGTCGAGGAAGCGCTTGTGCTTGTCGGACAGGTGGCGCAAGTGTGCACAGTGGAGGAGCTGCTGGTGCTGCTGGTGGTAAAGGTGCAACCTGAGCTTGGCTGGGGTCCTGTGCTTGCCCTGGTTGTGGGGGCGGCTGGAGTTGGGATGGTTGAGTTGTGGGCGGCGGCAAGCGCTCAGGGGCAGGCCGGGTCACCACTGGTGGCAGGCTGGGCGTCGCAGCTGAAGCTGCAGGTGCAGCTGCAACGCTGGGTGCAGGAAGTGTTGGGACCGATGTGACGGCTGGAGCAGGGGCAGGAGCTGCAGGAGCTGGGGCTGCAGGGGCTGCAGGGGCCGCAGGTGCTGCAAGCGCTGGCTGAGAGCCAGGTGGCAAAGTCGAGATGGATGCTGGTGCCGGGGCTTGAAGTGTGGGTGGAGCAGGTCCAGCTGCTTTGGACTCTGGTGCTGTTACTTGTGCATCGCCAGGAGGTGGGGGCGCTGCAGGAAGTGGTGGTGGACTAGGTGCTTTTGGAGCTTTCGAGCCAAAGAAGGATCCGAACCAAGAGGAGGCTTTCTGCACAGCTTTCGCCGGAGGAGCTGGAGGGGGCGGTGGTGACTGGTCCGAACCGTCCGGAGGGGTTGGTGGTGCTTTGGGTGGTTCCTTTGGTGGAGCTCCAACCACCTCAAATGCAGCGGTTGGAGCTGGGGGTTGGCTTTTCGGAACTGTGGATGCATTTGGTCCAGGTGGTGGAGGAGCTGCTGGCGGAGGCAGCGGCGGGTCGTCTGGTGCTAGAGGTGGCGCCGGGGGAATGGGAGGCGCTGCCGGTGTTGACTTGCCGAAGAGTTTGCCAAACATCGCAGAAAGACTGCATTGCGTCTCATTTCATGTAACCTAAACAAACTCCAGCAAGCCACGGTGTGCTTTAAGTTTAAGAAGCTGTTGTTGCTGCCGCCACTGTTCTTTTCAACGCTGTTCCAGAAAATTGGTATGGTTTACAACACTTTGCGACTCATCGCAACGAGTGCTTGATGGAGACCTCCATGAGCCAGCACAGCTAAGAACAGACATCCGCAACGAGTTCCAACATGTCTGGACCTGAACTTCAGAGCTCGGCCTGTGAGCGCAGTGCCTGCTCAGCCCGATCTATTGCATTCTGCCTCGGATATTTTGGCTTCAGACATCCATGCAAAAGATCGGGCAGCGGCTGAGCACCGTACAAGAGCTCATGCTCTCTGCTCTGACCTCTGCCTGCCGTGACCAGACACGAGCAAGATTTCGGTGGGGCTGTCTTGGAGCTGTGAATGGAAGCCTTCTTACCACTCGAAGTTGTGCATGGGCAAACACGGCAGAGCCGCCATCCAGAGATGTTTGAATCTCCTGGAGGTTTCGGTGGAGGCTCAACATGATGTTGCCGACGGCCTGGTTTGGGAGCAGACATGCAACTCGTGCAATGAAGCTTTTGTCATGGCTTTTCCTCCATCGCGGCTCAGGCCAGCCTGACATGCAAGCGAACACAAAATTTCCTGTTTTGTGATTGCAACTGAGACACCATTCGAGCCTGGCAGCCAGGCATGAAGCTGCAAGCCAGGCTCAACTCTGAGCAGATGTCCATGCAAACCAAAGGTAATGACGGCTGTCTGTCTGTTGTGTTTGTTCGAGCATTTTGAAGTCGATGGTTGATGTTAACAATTTGCCACTGTTTGCCAATCTCTTGGGTCACAATGTCCTGCCTGGGCCTTTGGACACGGTTTGTGCAGGATACAGAACAAAATCTCAAAAAAAACTCCCTCACGGTTGGAAAATCTCAACCTGAACTCAGTGAAAGATGACTTGGCTGTTGTGCTCCGAACATGCAAGGAAGAGAAACAGAACCAAGATGCATAACAATAATGCATAAGATGGTCGCTTGCCAAACTTCCTCGCATGGTGTTGGCAATGCAACCTGTGCAAATTCCAGGAATGGGGCAAGCTTCAAAGAAACCGCAACCACGCCACCAGCCACTCCCGAAACCGCTGAGCCTATATGGTATGTAGGATATGAGATGCACTGCGCTTTTTGGTTCACAAGCTAACATGTCACACCTGAATCTGCACCGTGATATTGGTAATAGCAGATGTTTCATCCGCTCCATGGATCTGTATTTTTCTGACGGAACCGGAACAGCCGTCCGAAAACTGCTACAGGTATACCTACAGGTATACACCGCTACAAGCTCCCGCGATTCAACACTTTTGGAGTGCCATGACTGATGTGTGCGTTAGCTCATTGAACAACTCACTTTGCAAATATGCACACGTCTGCGTCAGCAGTTTGCACTCAGGACCTTCGCCCTTGGAAGCAGCCGCGTATAGTCCGCTAGCCTCTTCTGCTCGCTAGTTCTGCAATTTGTTTTTGAGCTGCGTAATTGCATTGTTTATGGCTGATTCACCGGGTGCATTCTGCTGTGTTGATTTTGGTGTTTACACCATGGTTGCTGAAACCTACTACGGAGTGTGAAAAAGCCTTGTTAACGATTATCGCTGCAAGCAGCACCTTGCAAAAGGTGTCCGTCGATAGCATCGACTATCTCACATCTGTCCGTCAATGGTTTTGCCGTGTAGTGCACGGTTAAGCTGGCCTGCATCGCATTTATTTTCCACGGAGCTTTGCATGATTCATCTGACTTCAACAATTGAATCACTCCATGACTAATGTACTCCAACAGAAATATGAGGAATCGAATCATAAAAATATCAAAGGTTGTTGAGTTCGAAACGGACCTGGGGCACCCCTTGGAACTCGTGCTGCAAAGTTCAGCAGAACTTGACGGGCAGTCGAATCAAGACCAACAACAAGAGAGAATCTTCGCATCTTTCACTCAGAACTAAGTCCATTGCGGCCATGGATTCGATTTTGGCTTTGTTCCTCATGTTAACCATTCTAAACGAAGAAAATCAACTACTGGCTCCAATGAAAGCCAACCAGCTTCGACGACCTCGGAAACTGACAGCAGATCTTCACACTTTCCACACGACTTCATCCAAACACCAACAATTGTTCAATAAAAAAGCGAAAAAACAAGACGAAACGTGAGAGGCTTGCAAGCAAGAGCAAGCAAACTTCGAAAACAGTTCAATTCGCTACGGTTTGTTTCATTCTGCGAGAAGTTTTGCAAAGCAGTTTCTTTGTGCGCCAATGAAGCCCGTTGAAGCTAAAAAATTCATCAACCAAACGAACAGAGCATCGAGTGCGTATTGCATTCTTTCCATGCGTGTTCGCTTCCACAGGAAGTCGGCTGTGAGTATCTTTGAAGAAAGCAGTCGCACATTCTCCAACCACAGTCTCCAACTTCGCATACTCTCTTCCGCCACATGACATGAAACGAACGCATGCGACGGTTTGTTTGTGCGGTTTTCGAAAGTAAAAAAGAATGTTTGGACAGATGCAAGAACAGATTTGGTTGCAACAGACGTAGATCCAAATTCGACGTCAAGCCGCTCTCTGACGCAATTGTGCATCTAAAGTCCAAGAGTCCACACGAGTAGCGAAACTGTCGGATGCTGTGGAAAAGACCAAGCGGTGGCATGTGAGCGGTCGAAACTGTTTTGCTTTTTTTGGCGTGAGCGGGCCTCGTCGGCTACGGCTGTAGCACTCGGTCCCTACAAACAAGACAAACCAACAAACAAGAACCAAAAACAGCGGTGAAACAGGGCGGCTCGATAAGAAGGCAAAAAAGCTAGCTGCGGCGCACAGGCTTTGCCGGTGTTGGCCGTTCAGCATGAGCTACGGGGCCTCAGCGACCGATCCACAACAGCAAAGGCCGTCGCCTAGAGCTGTCCAAGACCACCGGTGGAACCCAAAGTCGGAGCTCCGGCCGCCGTTCTAGTTCCGTCGAACAACGGTCAGCCCCGGGGTCCTGTTGTTTCTCGATCGTGCACACAAAGTCCACAAGTCCACAGAAGAGTCCATGACCGGCGGAAGAGTCGAAAGATGGACCCTACGGCCTACGACGTATGTCGATGGTCATAGGACTCTGGTTGTTGGAATGCTTCCCACGCCGTCACCGGCCACGTTCCAGTGTCGCAGGCGGCGGCCAAGCATCTAGCTGGCGCTGCATGTCAGTGCCGCTGGTCGGAAAGTGGGATTCCCGCAACAGATACAGCAGTTGGTAATTGCGCTGCGCATACAGCTCTTGGAGGCGGCGAAAGCCATAACAGAGTGTATCTTGATCGGCCTCATGGAGCTGAGGCATGAGCTCAATAGAAATAAACGGGATTTGAATGCCTGGGCTAAGTCTTCCCCGTTCGCTGAAGGCCCGCGCTTCGTCTCTCCAGTGTTCCTGGCCCCAAGGGTCACCTAGCCGAAACCGTGCGCGGCTTCCATCGGCCATGGTTTTATCGTTCGACTCCTGGGCCACCAATTGGTGCATGAGAACCTTGGCTCTCGTGTCCCACGCATCGAAAAACGCGTGGCGCCACAGGCGCGCCGGTAAATAGAAGTCCTTTTTCTGAGGACCTCTTAGCCAGTACACAACCACCGCGGAAAGATCCCAGCCGGAGGAGGTAGCAGCCGCCCGAAGGCGCCACAGGGCCGCGTGTAGAAGACCAGCGGACTGGATGGGAAGCGACGGCAGCGCTTGCAGACCCAGGGGGACATCGTCCAAGGGGGAGCAAGAGTCGAAAAAGTGCCTTTGCACACGCCCGGAATAAGAGAACATCTGGGGGTCGAACCACGCCTGGCAGGGAGGAGCCCACGGTGAAAGCCATCCATCAGCCGCGCGGCAATAGCGATTTGTGGCCGCCCAACCAGGGAGGCAGGTACCTCCACTCTAACCCGTACCTCTAGGAAACTCTGGTCATTCTGACGGACTGGGGAGATGCGCACGAGTTGCAGCAAGGGAGCTGCTGCAGGCTCATCCACTAGGGCCCGTGCAAGGTAGAACACCAGGTAGCACACCACAATGAAGCAACGGCGTGCCCTGACTCGGGTCCGCTCGAGCCTTCCCCCCGGTTGCGCGCCGGGCGTCTGATCCCGTGCCGTGCCGGGGCGCTTGCCCGTGGGTAAGGGAGGTCGCAAGAGACATTTGGAAAAGGCTGCCATCGCGTACGGGCGACTTGTGGCCTCTCTTAGCACTGGGGAGCGAGAACTTCTGACCCGCAAGCTCGTCCAAGAGGAAACACCACCAGATCTCCGGGCGCGCCAACTCATTCCCCGAAAGGTCGGAAAACGCGGCCTTTCGCGGACAGCGCAGCCTGCAGGCCCTTCACGTCCGCGTGCTGCCTGCCCTTGGCCTGTAAGCGACGAACCACGTCGTGCTGCCTGGAAATCATGCTCACCTCTCCTGGAAATCATCCTCACCTTCAGGCGGAACGCAGTTGCTGGAAATGGCATGGACACCAGGCAACAACTGACCAGGCGGAACTTCCACAGCGTTCAGCAGTGCAGCCACCTCTGGCCTCCTACGAGCCATTAGGGGTAGCAAGCCGCCCCCCTTGTGAGATCGCCCGATAACGGGGCACCTGGTGTCGAGAACCGGGTCAAAGAGACGCACAGTAAAAGAGACCATTGTTCACAAAGTCCATACCGCGGAAAAGCACATGCGTCTTTCATGCGGGCTGCCAGCACGTCGACATACGTCGATGCACATTTTGCGATAGCCCCAACGCCCCTTCCTCTTTCCCAGCATCATGGCTGGCTTGTGGACTGAGATGTTCCAGATTACCTCATCGATGGAGATCGACCCCTCGCTTCGCGCTGGCCCTGGCGTCACAGCGGGGAGCGAACTGTGTCGTCTTCGAAGGGCGCGTTCGTCGTGGGCTCCTCAATCACAACCAGCTGAAACTCGGAGTCAGCCGCCAAATCGAAGTGACAGAGG